TTGAGCATTGGCTTTTATAAGATCCTTCTTCAATTTTTTTCTTTTTCTTGTCTCTATATATTTAATCTAATTTCTCTCATAGTTCATTAGAGGTTGAGCAATTTGTGACCAAGTTGAAGTTATAAAAGTCTAAAGTTTCATATAGAATGCATTTGGCCTTGGCATCATTTAGTATTTAGGTCATGTACTTTGCATCTTTGGAAAGAGTTCTAAGCCCTTTTTCTATCATAAACCGTGCTCTAATATCACGAGCATTATGAATAGTCTCATTCTCATTTTCCATTCAAATAGCTTATATTTGTCAAACTTGAGAGTTTTGAGGATTTTCTCGCCATCCTGGAAACTACATTAAGCCATAGAATCTTTTATCCAATGTTGTTAGACCTACAAAAGAGACCATAAGCTCTAATACCAATTGTTAGCTTAAGTGTAAATGACAATCCAAGAATGAGTGAATTGGATTGTCTTCAAATTCTTTCCCAAAAATATATTGGAATTAAATTGAATGAAAAATTAAAATTAATATACTCTTTAATGAAAATATGATTCAATAAACAATAATTAATGAATTTGATACAAATATAAACAACAATTAAACTAAAATGAGTAGGGATAGAGAAATCAAACACAAAAATTTATAGAAGTTCGACTTTTCTCCAAAGGTGCATACATTTTCTCCCTTAGCCATCCTAGCCAAGCACAATCCAATATATGTTAATTCTTTCAAATAGCCTCTTCAAGGTTAAGAGTACAACAAACCAAAAAACCCTTAATGGTTTTTCCTAAATTTTCATAAATACACTCAAGGATTTCACTCCCCTTGAACCTACAATCTCAAATAAGATACGAGTGTTTTTCAAACTAGATAACTTCACAAATGTTGGGAGTTTGGCCAAAAAATAAATATAAGAAAAGATTAAATGGATACAAATGGATAATGAATACAAGGATAAAGAATTTAAGCTCTAAACATTTTATTTTTTTTAATTTCTTGAAGAAATTAAAGCAATGCTTTTTTAGTGTTATCTCCTGGTTTTAATAGTATTGGAAGAGTCCCTTTTATAGAAAAAATATGTTTATAGTTGATCGGGATTGTTTGGACAAGAAAATGCACATTTATTTCTTGAAAAACTAGCCATTGAAGGTTGTTAAGGATGAATGCACTTATCAAATATATTAATGGATTGAATGGTTTTTAAATTTATTCAAATTTTTACCGTTGCAAGAGAATGGATCGATCTATTTTGATAGAGGATCAACCTATTTTCATAATGGATCAATCCATTTTGATAGAGGATCAATTCATTTTCAAAATGGATCAATCCATTTTATAAGGGATTGATCCATTTTTACAAAATTTGTTTAAGGGACATTTTGTATGAATAGTGCATCCGTTTTCTTTCAAATAAATCTTTTTTCACACTCTACTTATTAAATTGATCATACGTTGAGTTATACAACTCCAAATAATGATCTGTTTGAAGATTTAGAAACTATACTTAAGGTGCTTTCTATCTATATAAAATTCATCATCTAATTCAATGTATGAAAATTGTAGTGAATTTTTACATCTTATTCTTATACGGTTGTTAAACAAAATATATAGTTTTTAGGAAAAATTCAAAATCTTTTTTTTTTAAATTTAGATTTAGATTTTGTTTGATCTATTAGAAAGTAGATTAAAAAAGGCTTTTCATTCATATAAAATTCAAATATTTAAATTTTGTTCTTATAAAATAACTTTCTTAAGTTAATTCATTTCTTAAAACCAATATTATCAAATTTGTATTGAGTTAAATATGAATAAGTTCACTTTAAAAATAACAATTAGATTTTCATTTAAGCTCAAATAAATATTTTTTAAAGAGAGTTTTGGTTTGAAAATTACAAAAATATAAAGAAATGTTTGTTTAAACTTTGACAAACATTTTACAAAGAATTGTCAATCTTAAAAATTTGTATTTTTTATACAAACATTAAGACCAATCTCTTAAACAATTTTCTAAGATATTTTTCAAAATCAAATATCACTTTGAAAAATATATTATTTATTTAGTACCAAAAATAATTAAATTTAAGAATATATACTAAATAAATCTTTTTCAAAATATTAATAAAATTTATTTAGCTTAATGTTTGTTATTTCAAAATAAGAATTAATTCAAGACCAACACTTTGTCACTATGTTGAGTAAATGCAACTTCCTTGATCTCTTCATTGGTGACATCTGGAGAAAGGATAGTTTGTTGTTCTTCAATCAAAGAGACTTGAAGTATTTCAGCAAGCAATTCCTTGGGAAAGCTTTTTACATTAACATCAACTATTCCCAATGGCCACCTTAAAGGCCCCACGGAGATTTGCAAGTATTCTTCCAATCTTTTCCCCTCTATCAAACCAAACTCTTATGGTGCTTTTCCTATGCTTGGCCATCACCATTTTATGAAAAAAAATCTCGTATTCTGGTCCCCTTCCAAAACCCATCTAATTTTAGATTTTTGTCTTCATAAACTCTCCACTACTTTCAGTAACTCATGAAGTTCCAACGATAGCTTCTTCTCTTTTTCTTTGTTGGCAATAGCAGGCTGAGCAAGGCCTGCAAGTTGCAAAACTGCCAGCTCCTCCCCTTTTCTTTGATTTTCTCAGCAATATCACCAAATTGGTCGAAGATGAATCTTCTCAGCACCAGTCTTATCCGCTTTAGCTTCATATATAATGCTGCCATAGGCCTCTCTCTCACTGGCTCTCTCCATAACTCCTAAACCAATTTCATGAACCGTGGCTGCTTGGTCCAAAAATTAAAAAATTTGAAGGGTTTTAGAGATGATTTTCTAGGCACTTCAAGCTTTATCAAGCTTGGACAATGGTCAAAAACTTTAAGTGAAAGGAACTCAACAATAGAATTTGGTAGTTGAGTAAGCCACACATCATTCATCAACACTCTATCCAGCTTCCTTGAGAGAAAGTGATTGTTTCATGTGTATAGTTGCCCTGTGTATGATTGATCCATCACTGCCAGCTACTAAATGCAAGTCTGAAAGTCTCTCGTACTTGAGCTAGCAACTTGAGTGCTATTGTTATCTGAACTCTCTGTGGGGTGAGCAACAGAATTAAAATCACCGGTCCAAATCCATGGGCAGCCACTAGTGGTACTTTGAAGAATGAGTAGGTGTTCCCATAACTTCATCCTTTCCCCCCCTGTGTTATACCCATAAATGTTAGTAAGACAAACCTGTTAAGCACCATGTGGGATGTAACAGGTGATGCTCTGGTCAGTGACAGCCACTAAGTTCGCATTCACTTCTGGTTTCCATAACAACCAAATTCGTCCATTTGGAACACAAGGTTAGTTGCGATGCATGGACCAGCCAGCAAATATTTATTCATAACTTGTTACATATTTTGCTGCTTTATTCTAGTTTCCAACAAACAGGCAATATCTACATTTAATCCTTTAATCCTACCTACAACCTTTTTTTTGTTTTAGAGTGGCATTAAGCCCTCAGACATTCCAGCTAAGAATGTTTATAAGGAATGAGAAAAGGAAGGAGCTCCTCTGAATGCAGAACTATCTGCCTTTACTTGTTTACTTTTTCCCTTGTCATTAGGGCCTTTCTTCTTAACTTTTAGTTGCTTCATCAAGTCTGCAACTCCAGTTGAAATTGCACTCATTTTCCTTGTCAAGTAGACAATTGGTTCATCATCCTTCACCTCTTGCAGTCCTGCTTCTATATGGTTTCCCCCAGCGATCCCCTTATCACCATCCTTAACAGTTTCAAGTATCATTAACCTGTTTGCAAACTCGAACTTTGCAACCTGCTGCCTTTTTGCCACCACATGAACCACTCCCCCTTCCTTCTTTTCCTTCATGACCCAAGCCTCTCTAGTTTTATCTCTTGTTTCTTAGGCTGCCATATTTTTGTCTCAGTAACCACTGGTTTGTTCAAGCATGCTTTATCCATACGCCTAAAAATGTTACAGTACTGACACTTTAGTGGTATCCACGGAACCTCCCCTGCAATAGAAGCCGTGTATTATCTTGAAGCATAACATTAATAAATTAAGGAATCTCACCATTAACCTCCACCTCCACCTCAACATACATCTTTGCATAAGCTAACCTTTCAAGATTTGCAGTAATCTTATCTATGTACGGTGGATTGCCCAAAGCGCTAGCAATGTAACTCAACCCTTTCTTGGTGTAAAGTTCCAATGGAACGTGACGCAGGTGTACCCAGACTGGTAGCTTATTCATCTGAAACACTAGAGTTCTCATTCCTGGCTTCCACTTACGAACTATAATTGGCTTATTTTGAATATGCCATGGTCCTGTTTCAAGAACCCTATCGCAATCTTGCTTGGAAGCAAAATGCATTATGAATAGATTAATCCCAACAGGCTTGATCAAAACTAGCCCCTCCTTGCCCCATAACAAGCTAACTAGTCGTTGAAACTAACTGAAGTTAGGGACCTTACATATGAATTGAGCCACCAAGGAGTTACGCCATTGGAGCTCTTCCTCATACACCTCATTTGATGGCTTGAAAACCTTCCCATTCACCAACTGTGACGGAATCTGCAACGATTGTTAGGGAGTTGCGGAAATTGGGGATAGCAACAAGAAAGCAACGAGAAAATAGATGGTTAGGCGAGAGAAAGAGGTAGTTATGCGAGAAAATTTGGTAGTTAGGCAAGAAAATTGTCAACTCAAGAGAGACCCGCTAACGTGAGCCGAAAGCTTTTTCTTAACAACCAGACCTTTATCTTTGATCACTTTATTACGAGAAAAAAATTTTGTGTATTATCGTTTTTTAACATGTGAAAACCCCTCGCCAAGACTTAGAGGGGCGTAGCAATAATCTCCATGAGAGAGTAGTTCAATATACAGTATATAGATATAGACTTTTAACCCCTCGCCAAGACTTAGAGGAGCGTAGCAATAATCTCAAAGGGAGAGTAGTTTAATATACAATATATAGATATAATATAGATATAGACTTTTAACAATCTTTTCCCACTCTCTTGTGAATAATCAATAGATCCCCAAACTTACCTCCTACAACTGTTAACACTCTTTCTGTAGACTGCTCTTGCAGGAGTAGAAGAAGCAGCACCATGGATGAAAGGCTTCTTGGGTCAGAACCTAAGGAAAATGGTAACCTGAGAAGGAGAGTTTGGGAGGAATCAAAAAAACTATGGAGGGTTGGGTTTCCTTCTATGTTAGCTAGGGTGACATCCTTTGGAATGTTTGTAGTGACTCAAGCTTTCATTGGACACTTCGGTCAACAACAGCTTGCTGCTTATGCCCTCATACAAGTCATGACAGTTAGATTTACAAATGGAATTTTGGTATGATCATTCGCAATCTGTCACTGATTAGACCCTGAAAGAAGGATTCAGATTTTTCCTTTTCTTGTTTTTCTTCTGAAACTATACTTTCAACAATTTTTGTCTTATTTTTTCATGATTATTTTTGCAGTTGGGGATGTCCAGCGCAACTGAGACACTATGTGGGCAAGCATTTGGAGCAAAGCAGTACCACATGTTGGGAATTTACTTGCAAAGATCATGGATTATCAATCTTGTCACAGCAACTGTTTTGCTACCACTTTTCGTCTTTGCATCACCAATCTTCAAATTACTTGAAGAAGATGATGATATAGCCACTGATTCTGGATATATTTCTCTTTGGTTCATCCCCATTCTCTACTCTTTTGTTTTTAGCTTGACCATTCAAAGCTATTTACAATCCCAGCTTAAAAACATGATTGTCGGATGGATTTCTGCTGGCTCATTCGTTCTTCATGTGCTCTTGTCATGGATCTTTGTGAGCAAGTTGAATTGGGGGATTCCTGGTGCTATGAGTTCAATGATCATATCAAGTTGGTTGGTGGTAATTGGTGAGTTCATTTACATATTTGGTGGTTGGTGTCCTAACACATGGAAAGGATTGACTTTTGCTTGTTTTCTTGATCTATTTCCTTTTATAAAGCTCTCAATATCCTCAGGATTTATGCTTTGGTAAATTCCTTTTCCCTTCACTTAATTTCAACCTTTAGATTTTTTTCTTCCATCTCAAGTAGATACCTTAACTCAGTTTATATCACCAATCTTATAACATGAATTCAGTTTTCTTCCTCGTGTTGTTGGCTTGTCAGCTTAGAGTTATGGTACTATGCTGTTCTAGTCCTAATGGCAGGGTATATGAAAAATGCTGCAATTGCTATAGATGCCTTCTCCATTTGGTAAGATTACTGATTATTTCTAGGGTGAACAATTAATCGATTTATCGTTCGATCTACAAAATTGAAATTAAATCTAAATTGAAAACCAATTTAATTAACTTTTTCTAATAAAATAATTAAATCAATCGATTTATATTTAATAATCGAATTGATATAAAATCTATTGATTCGGTTAATTCAATCAAAAAACTTATTCTTTTCACCAATTTTCCACCAATTTTGAATAATAATTTTATAACAATTTTCACCTAAAAAGCCCACCTTACAATTTTGCCATTAATGTCATATTTGTCATTTTTAAAAATACAAATAAAAAATATTTTTATATATATTTATATTATATAATATATTTAAAAATGTATTATAAATACAATTTTGCCATTAATATTATATTTTTCATTCTTGCAAATACAAATAAAAAATATTTTATATATTTATATTATATATAATATATTTAAAAATCTATTAAAATGTTAATTAATTCAATCGATTCAATTATTATTTTTAAAAATCTCATTAAATCAATTTATTTAATCTATAATTACTATAATCGAAACCGAATCAACTTAACAAATTAAGCCAGATTGGTCCATCAAATCGGTTGAAATCTATTTATACTTGCCCTAATTATTTTCACATATACCATAATAAAATAAGCACTAATTTCTAAGTACATTGCAGCCAGAATATCATAACATGGCAACTAATGATGTTCATCGGCTTCCTCGTTGCAGCTAGGTTGGTAATTTGCATATATAGCTTCAGAATTATCACTGAAATTAATACCCTTACGTCTTCCCTCACAGCCTCGTAAGTATTCAAACTGATACATCATTGTTTTCCTTTCAACAGCGTGCGTGTTTCAAATGAACTAGGGAGAGGAAATGCCAAAGCTGCAAAATTTTCCATTAAAGTTATCATATGTACTTCACTTTGTATTGGAGTGTTCTTATGGGCTATGTGCTTGATATTTGGCCAACAAATTGGTTACTTGTTCACAAGTGATGAGGATGTAGCGAAATCTGTGGCAGACCTCTCTGTCTTACTTTCATTGTCGGTTTTGCTCAACAGTGTTCAGCCAATCCTCTCAGGCAAGCATATAATAAGGATAGCAACAGTTCAAATGAAGCTGATCAACTCTCAACTGCATTCCACATTTCATCTCATAATGTTGCTTTCAATCATTTTCATTTTCTAGGACAACACTTTGGCAAAAATATGAAAGGAATGCACCTGTTTAAATTACTGACATGGCCATGAAAAAAATTGATTTGAAGTAGATTTATCATTATAGAATATGAAAAACAGGATCTAAGAAACTAGTTTTGGATGAAAACTTCAAATGCAGGGGTAGCAATTGGTGCTGGCAGACAAAGTATGGTTGCATATGTCAACATCTGTTCCTATTATGTGGTTGGGGTGCCTTTAGGAATTATTCTTGCATATGTTGCCAAAATGGATGTGAAGGTTAGAACAATCTTATTTCATAATCTTGATATATATATTCCGGCAATCTCAACAATTGAGCTAAATCAAATTAATTGAATTTCTTCCTTTGATTTTCACAGGGCATATGGATTGGGATGATAATAGGTGTTGCAACTCAAACAATTGTTCTAGGCTACATTACCTCAACGACTGATTGGGAAGAGCAGGTAATGAAAATGAATTAAAAAAAAAAAAAAGGAGATTGAAAATATTAGATTTTTTTTTAACAAAAAAATCATAATCTGAAAATAGCAGAAGAAATTGTAGGTATTAATATTTAAATTTTAAATCTGCTGAATATCGATATTAGTTGCATAAAGTTTTGGATTTAATTTTAGGTGAATTTGCTCGACAATTTGTTTATTTATTTTTGTCTTCAGGTTAATAAAGCATCAGAGAGGCTCAACAAGTGGTCCTCCAGGCCTTCAGAGACAACTGATGAAAATCTTATTGAAGAAAGAGTGAATGAATGAATGATTCAACAAGCATTGTTTCATTTTTTATTTAGATTTTGCTGATTTTTTGGTGAAATTAAACCATGGTTTTCTTTAATGCTGACTAATTAGAACAATTATTCCTATTGAATAAATTGGAACCCAAGTCTGAAAAATCTTGGGTTCACACTCAGGTTTAAGACTTTTAGTGGACCTGCAAATCTGTCTCATCTTTCTTCTTGAATCTGTTAGTTTCTATTTCTTTAAGTAAGGTAGTTTAAAATTTTAATTCCCAAAATAGGATACATTTAAACTTATTTCTGTAATTAAGACATTTCATGCCAATTTATTGCCACGTCATTTTTTTGAAAAAGAAAAATATTAATAACTACATATTTTATAGCACATTAATTTTTTTAGGTGATAAAAATAAAAAGTTCTAATCATTCAATAAACGTTTGGATTTTGAAATATCTTATTTAAAGAGCCATTGCCAACAAACTTTTTTCTTGGCTTTTGAACTAATTATTTAACAAAATTTTAATCAAAGTATGACTTATATTAAAAGAAAAACCTGGGTTTTTTTTTTTTTATATATATTTCTGTAAACTATATATCTTTTATCTAGCAATTGAGACAATGATGAGTACTAAAAAATTAATGTATCTGTAAAAATTAGAACTTTTATTTTTATTTCTTTAAAAAAACTATTGTGCTATCAAATATGTAATTACAAATATTTTGCTTTAAAAATATTTGACATGACAAGTGACAAATCATTTTCTCTTTACCAAATGCTTTTGGTTGGATTGTTGGTGATGGGAAGTGGATGATAAGAAACTCAAAATGATTTTCTATAGATTTTTTTCTAATTTGTTTGAATAGAAAGAGAGCAGGATGGAAGACATGTATGCATGGGGGTTTAGTGGAAGGAGAAAGCAAGTTATGAAACAGAGGAAAAAATTGTTCAAATATAAACTCATGAATTATTGTGTATTTTTGTCATATGCAAACTGTTATTTTATATGAATGCAATATTTCAACTTTCATAAGTACTGGGATAGTCAAACCCTGCTTCCAATTGGTCATGTCATAGAGCTGTTGCATCAATGGAAGGGTGGATTCTTTTTCTTGGTGTAGGATAAGTATTGTGGTAATATAAATAGATCTAATAATTTGTATATTTGTATTTATTTTTATATCCTGTCAAATGTAATATAACAGTACGATTTGCATATGGAAACTATACCCTGAGACTCCTCATGTCCTCTCCTTTTGTCTTGTATTCGAAATTATTCCGAACTGAATGACAAAAGAATAATCGGCAAGCATTCAGAGAAGAGCAATACCATATGATGGGAATTTACCTGCAACGATCATGGATTATTAACCTTGGTGCTGAAAAAGTTTGGCTGCCAATACAAATTTCAATATTCTCCGGATCTCGATTATGCATATTATGGAGAATATACATTATGTAACTTAGAAGCAGATTCGCAAACTATACTTGATTTTCGTAATGAAGATGTTAGTTTTGTTGGTTTATTACAGATCTTTTAAGGAACAACATATGACAACAATTCTGTAAATGATGAAACAAATGTATGTTTTGGATTCCAAGAACATAGTTACCTTCTCAACAGATTATACGCTGGTAAATCTTTCACACTGGAGACATCTTCAAGTGAGAGCTCACGCTCTAACTGTGTCCTTGTAGACTTCAGAACATCCTGGAAAAAAGGCAGAAAAAGATTAAATGAACCACGCAGGAATGCCAAGGAAAATATGAAAATCAAGGAATTATAAATATAGAGCTTAAGATACACAGGATAGAATCACTTGTTAGAATAATTTACGTTGAATTCCATGTATGAAGCTCGTTTCACAAGCCATTGTGCATCCATCATCTGAAAGGCCACACAATAAAGAATGTCGAATGCCATTTCATCTTCTCCGAGTAGTTCCAAAAATCGGATTCCAGCCACAGAAGATGGTTTTCCTGCAGGTAAAATATGATTGCATTGATAAATTCAACAGAGTCAAACATACAGCAGATAATTAATGTACTTAACTTTATTCTGCATAAGGTATGATTCCAATATTTTTCAGGTCCGTAAAACTGTTAATGTCATTGTTAAAAGTAATTTCTGCCGGTAACATATATCAGCCTCTGAAAGAGAAATTGCACTACAAAGGGTTTACACCATTCAATATCTAACCAGTTCAGAATTTCCATTACCTGATTGTAGATCCAACATCTGTACCAACATAAAAGAAATATTGATGCCAGCTACAGCAAATGGATATTCCCAATCAGCTCTGTTTCCATCTTGTTTGTGCAACAAACTCTGGAAAGACTCCTGTTAAAATAAAGACCAAATCATAGTTTGACCAACCATAGCTGTAATTCATGCTAATGAATAAAATAATCATTTGTTTCATATTAACAAAATAAAATAAACAGGAAATGCTTTATTATAAAAGTAGATTAGCTCCCAAATGCTCCATATGGTAGATCATAATCAACTAAATGTAATCCAGATAATTTAAGGAAAAGTAACAAACTGGATATTTCTTGGCAAAAAAGATGAGATTCTCCAATGATATGAATCCTCCACCCCTTCAAATAGCATTGAAATAACATAAATAATCATATATATCAGGAAGGGAAAATGCAACCAAGACAACCAGTTTAAGGCAAAATCCTCAGCATACCGAAAATCTGTTGAAGGGTCCGGACCTTGCCATCCCATGTCCTTCCAAAGCTCTGATTTAAGAGATGGAAGCTCCCTGTTAGGGTAAGCCAATCTCCATAACTGCTTAAGAGCATCCTGCAAGTCAAATGATGAAGAATCTTTTACTCATGTGCATATATTTGGCATAGGGAGGGGAGAGAAGGTTAGCATTTTCAATTCCAAAAGAAATTTTGTTTAAATTGGCCAATTCTTTTAATCAAAAGTGCATCATGCACCCTATAATTCATGGCAAAGAACTAACAAAAAATGGGAAGAAAAATAAGGATTAACAAATACACAAGCATACTAATTATAACTAAACCTACTTGATGCTGCAGCCGAGATCCATCAAAGGGGACTGCCAGTCTTTGCTGTAGATTTCTCAGCCTTTCTTCCTACAAGGGCACAATATGGAAATATCAAGACACCAAATATACCAACAATAAAGTGAAGTCAGAGCCAACAAAGTCTTTTGCTCTTTCAAAAGACAAACACTGAATAACCTAAGCTCATAAGACTGGTGCTACTTGCCGACTAAACTCCTCTACAAGACAATCTACAAGGAAGGATTATTTTTGCCCATAAGCTTCAATTATTTCTCCAAGTTCATTCTTGGAACCAATTCCAAAACACCAATTACTGATAAATACGAAGAACTTTCTTTCTTTAGGTGTTTTCTTACACACAGCACCTGTCAGGATCCTGAACCGATGCACATCCTCAACCTTCCACTCCGTTCCTCTATAATGCAGCACTAAGTGGCGATTTAAAAACAGTAACTGCTAAAAGCACTCTCTAAACCTGACTCAAAGTTTCAAGCCTGAAGTTTGATTTAGATTTTCAATAGTAATCAGAATATATTTACTAATTTCTCCTTCTGCCCCAATGACATTTTATCAATTTTCACATGACTAGAGCTAAGATTTATGGAATTAGTGGCATACAGAATAGAAACTCAAAACTGTCTATTTTGAATAACAGATTTTCCAGATTTTAATTTAGAAATTGATAAACTCTTCCTTTTCAAAAGGTTTACGAAAACACCTCCTCGCTACCAAAAAAGGGAAACACCTCCTTGCCCCCCTCCCCACTGGGGAAAAGAAGACCAAATGAAAAGAGAGGAAAAAAACCATACGTTGATTATCAGAGCAGTGCCCCTGTTAAGCCCCCCCCCCCCCCCCCCAAAAAAAAAAAAAAGCTAATTCAAAACCAGAAAAATACATTGAAGAAGTGCAATGCTGATTATACCTGTAAAGGACTAAGATTCTGGTTTGGTCCATTTTGGATGTTAGAAAGTAAAGGTAATAGCCGTGCAATAAATGATCCAGATCCAAGGACAATGTTTGCTGAAAAGACAAGATCGAACTATCAGTAACCCAAACTGCTATGAAATTCCCACCATTTTCAAGAAAAGCCAAAGAAAGCAAAGACCTTAATAACTAATGGGCCATACAGAACCATGTTTGCGGCAAAAAGCCAAGTATCCGGGCTATTAAATAGAATATCAAATTGCTTATCTGAAGCTTATAAATTTAGAATATAATCAAAGAAAAGATACATTTTTATGTATACAGCATCAAATTATGACCTTCTTCTCTTATAAGCATACAATGCCTTTGAAGATACATTTACTTCATCCTGTGGAAAATGCCACCAATTAGGGACATTGTTAGTTCACATAGAGAACCAAACAAGGGAAGAACTAGAATAAATTGCTTCCATAACATATCAGTTCTGTGTCTTTACTCATATAACTCTTCCCTTTGGGGGATATACATTTCTCCTTATATGATTAACAGAACTGTCCTCCATTATATATGAATGAACGCAAAGATATAAAATCATGTGATGAGTAAACAAAACCAATGACCAAAACAGATAATAATGGAGCATCTGTGTAGAGATAGATCCCCATAAAAGTGCTTTTTATCAGGGGAATCTTTGGCACATTCATAGAAGATGTGAGAGGAGGGGAGCAGAGCCGAGGGTTCAACTACTCATTATCTCTTTGGGGTTAATTCAGGCCAGGTTTCAAAACCTGTCTGGCATACCAATATACTCAACACAGTAGTAACTGCCTAGCTTAGTGGTTTAACTTTCAAAGTTAGCAGCCAACCAAAAGAAACAATAGAGTACAAATAGATTGAAACTGCAATTATAGACATTATAAACCACAAAATCCCGTGTCTGTAACTAAGAAACCACACAGATAATACCATACCTATCCATTGTGCCCATTGGGTGATCAAGTTAGAGAACAAAATCATCCAATGTAAATGTTCCTTCCTTCGCTCTACATCCCAAATTTCCTCTAGCTTTTGCCCCTATAACACAACAACAAAGAAAGCAAATTTAACATTTGCAACACTCTTTCCCCCTTTCTTGCAAAAAAAGTATACTTAGCATAAACAATGACATAATCACCTCGGAATGTTTGTCATCATAATCGTGATTCCCTAACAAGGGTTCATCTAAACCATCTAATCCTGACGTCTCATAACTCTCATTCCTTCTACCGTCAACATCCCCATGATGAAGCCTCCTTCTCAAGGCACCCGACCTCATTAATTACAGCTTAAAATTTGCACCTAGTTCTCCTTAAACCCTAATAATATTAAAAAAAAAAAAGAAAAAGAAACCAAACAATGGCAAAAATTTTGTATCAAAATCCTCAAGCTGCTTTAATAGATTAAACAAGCAAGAGTCCAGAAATGCAATTAGCACTTAAAAAAATAGGTTGGCAACAAAATGCTCTTGAAAATTTAAAATTAGCCGCAAATTTGTATGCAAAACTGCTGAAAAAAACAGATAATTAAACAAGCAACCAGAAATTCAACTGATGAAGAAACGCCCAATTTTGGCAACAAAATTCCATTTAAAAGCTCAACTTATGTTTAAAATTTGTATCCAAAACCCCCCAAAAAAACGCGTTTTCATTATTTTTCCAGAAAAAAAAAAACCATTTTGATAAATTCAAAAAACCCATATCGCACAAAAAGGGGGAAAATCAGAGAAAAAAAAAACTAACCGAAAGCTTAAGAGAGTTGCTGAGATCGAATTTGGAGAAAGACTTGATGTACAGTAAGAGGTAACCCTCGAAGCTAAGAAAAGCTCGTAAACCCCAAAGATAAAATAATAATAACAAAAAGGTGGATCTTTTGCTTATTAATAAAGAAATTATTAAGAAAACGAATGACAAGGTTTTGTGATTTTGAACCTCGGATATTTTCTCTACCCCTCCTCAGGTTTTAGTAAGGTTGCAACGGATGAGTCGGAGTCGATACAATATTTCGTTGAAATTTGAATTCAATATAAAATTTTATTCGGCTTTATATTTTCAGTTCAAAATAAAAATTAAACTATTTAAACTTATTTTATTAAAATTAATAATTATATAAAAAATTTTTATTTTTTTATTAAATAAAATTTTAATTATTTATGTTCAAATTTAAATTTTAAATTTTGAGTTTTAAATATTTAAAAATCTACTAAAATCAATTTGATGATTTCTTTTTTATGATTTTAAAGTGAGATGAATTATTTCAATTACTTAAACCTTAAGACATAACCATTTTTTGTTTTTATTTCAATGATATTAAATATTGATTTTATTTTTTATTATATATCATTATTTTTATGAAATATATGCATTCATCTTAATTGTACGTTGAAAACAAAAATTGTGAATATATTATAACTAATGTTAAAAAATGTACTTTAAATTTTTTATAACGTCTTCTAAAAAAATATATAGATGTAAGTTTTAATCTTGTCATAAAAAATAAATTTAAAAAAAAAAATCTCATGGAGAAAAATTTAAACTTGGAAAATCCCAGAAACACCGCTTGTCAGTTGTCATATTATCCCAAGAAATAAAAATAATTTTCTTAAAAATATCCTACTACACCTTTTGTAAAAGGTAGTAAATTTTTTTCAAAAAGATTTGCTAGTAATATATATATATATATATATATGTAAGTAAAAATCCATTTTTACTGGTGTAACTTTTATACTTGTTTTAAATATTTGAAACAAAATTATTAAATTTAAAAATATTATTTTGTGTGTGTGTGTGTGTGAAAAAAAGGATAAAATCAACTTACACCGTAATAAAATTTTTGAGTTTCACTTTTTTTTAACAATTGCTTTCAATAAATTCTTAAATCAAAATTACTAAATTTAAAAATATTATTTGATTCAAATAAATTATGAATTTAATTTTAATCGTTAAAAAAGTGTAGAAATTACATTATTTACACACTCTTACACTTTTTTATTCTTAAATCAAAATTACTTAATTTATTGAACATAAATAAATCCCTACCATATAGTGTTACAAGATTAGCCCTAGTCATATTTATTATTAGGGTGAGATTTAATCGGAACTTAGGGGAAGCAAAAGTTTAAAAGTGAATTTCAATGGGAACAAAGTTTAAACCTCCCTCGAACTTCTTGTAGTTACATAAAACTAGCAAAAAAGAGTTTTTTATGATTCCACTGCCCCCTTACGAGTCTTGTCTTAGACCATGGCAGTTCCTAGCTAGTTTAGTACATCAACATACAGGTCATGACTGAGCTATCATGTAGTAGCACCGAAAAAAGAGAGTAGCAGGTTACCCAATGGGACATTTTAGAACAACTGGGTAAAGGGGGTCGCGATGTTCCATGGAACTCGGCAGGGCAAATGGGTTATGGGAGAGGATGATGAGGCCACGGTCATGCTCGGATTTAAACATATGCCTAAAAGTTCTCTGCTAATATACATTATACATTGGGATGGCCACTCTGAGCCTTCCTGATTGATGTACTGTGGTATCGGTCCATGGGTTTGCCCTAAAATCCAATACCAGATATCCTTTGCATTGCCCTGTACCTGTAGTATGACATGATTTTTCAATGGAACATCACTGCCTAGGTACAGGTGGTGTTGACTGAGGGTTTTGCCCATAAAACCCGATACCTGGTGGCCGGTAAAATCCTCCAGTGGCTGGCTGTTGCTGAGCCTGAGATTGTGGCTGCTGCAAAGACTGAGACTGGGGCAGCTGTAGAGGCTGGGAAGCAGGCCTGGCTAAACTCATTGTTATATGTGGGGGAAGAGGAGGTGGCGGTGGCAGCGTGTTTGTTCCATAACCATAAGGCATTACCCCTACCATCATACCAGTTGACTGCACATATTGACTAGCAGGTGGATTTGCAGGAGACAAAGGTGGATGGGATGGGGGAGGAGGAGCAGAAGCGAAGGAAGCTTGAATCTGGTTGCCTTGGGACACCAGTTGCATATTAGTCGATGGTGCAAGTGGCATGTTGTTCATTGCCTGCTGCTGAAATGGGGTAAAATAAGCTGTGCCGGTGACATCTGAGCTGCTTGCATCAGATACAGGCATTGGTTTCTCAAGTTTGGGACGCTTCTCTGGAGGAAACATTGATAATCCTGATGTGAACCCACTTGATTTTAAGCTACCACTCATAGAGGCAGCTTCTTCTGCAACAAGGGACGAAAGTACAGAGGTCAGCATCTGAGCAGAAGATGTTGAAGCAGCAAGCTTAGCAGCGACAGCAGCAGCTGCTGCCTTCTTTTTATCTTCTTCAGTTGTTTTTGAAGGTGCAAAGGAAATCACAGGTTGTGGAAGGTGAGGTTGAGGTGGAGTGCCAGTTCGCTGAGCTGACAGAAGGCTCTGTTCACCCACTACTGAAACCTCCGCTGTTGGGATACTTGTAGCAGTTAGAGGGCCAGGTCCGGGGGGTAAAGTTAGCCTCCTCCTTACATTGCCTGCTTGCTCAATCTGACCTTGGGCAACCTGCACAAACATCAATAATTTCACTTCATCTCAGAAAAGTAGCAAATGTTTTACAAGTTGCATTTATATCATAGAAAAGTACAATCAAATACTAGAAAGCATGGTCAGTTTATCGAATATCTAGGATAATATGACTATATAAATAATAACCACAATAGAACTCTGATATCAAATACTCAAGTCTGAAATATACACTTCATTGCCAATCAATTTTGGGCAAATTGCATAGCTCATAATAGGTCCAACCTAGTTACCCTAAGATACAAACAATATCCTCACATGGAAATGTGATAGGCTCACTGGTTCTGCCCAGGAATGGAAGCATTGAGTAGTGATAAGTTGTCCCTGTTTGTTAATCCTACCTATAATACGCATAGCATCCCCTATTAAGGTTGCATTGTGATAAGACTTATTGTCTCTACATGTGCGAAGGAGTCCTATGTGATGATACATCTCACATAAATTAAGTTTGGTGTTTCATAGAACTTTCTATTCAAGAGGGCATTGCCGGTTTCAACCTATTGTGGCTTGGTTTTAATTAATATGCCTTAACACAAACTCTATCAATCATGTACGTCTGAAATGGATTTCTACCAAGTTTTCTTCCCAATTTACTACAGAATATGTTTCCCAATTGTGATTCCTTCCAATATTAACACATATGTCACATTGCAAAAGAATTTTCTGTTCAGAAAGGATTTAAACAAATAAAAACCTGCAAATTTATGAAGTCTATTAGCTGCAAAATATCAACTCAAGAAATTAATTAGGAAGAGCGCAATTCTTACTTGCAGCTGACCATGAATAAGCTCCAGCTTTGATTCCTGAAAAACTTCAAATTAATGAGTGCTTAACAAGGATAAATGATTCCTAACTGTAATTGCCAACTCAAGAACACATAGTAGTAATAAAACCATACTTGTTCCTGAAGTGCTTCTTTAAGTTGAAAAATTAAGGCAGCCCTGGTCTTTTTAATATTTTCAAGTTGTTCAATGCATTGCTGGAGCGTGTTTTCTTTCTGCTGTAGCTCATCCAGCAAGGCAGATCCATTCTGATTCCCTAACCAACGTCAAATATCTAATATATTTAGACCTGTTACACACATACAGTAAATCCAAACTAAAAGCAACATAGAATATCAGTTTACTGAAATTAACGGTCAGCAGTTTAAAACCCCAACCAAGAGATCCCCCATTAAATTGTTTTGAAACATAACATTTAAGACAAATTCCTAAGCAAGAAAACGGTTCAAATATAAGCTCTCTCTCATCACTTGTAATGGAAGAGTCAACTGATTAGAGGGAGATATATCTCTGGATCAGCTGCACCAGAGACATTTAACACACTACAAAAATATTAGAAGAACACAAAAAAATAAATAATTAATTAATTAATTCGAGTTCACTCGATAGAGAACTTTCTCCACCAATCAGCACATGCACCAAAATCAGTCATAAGAACAATTGATAAGTATCAAATTTCTTTTATCCCTTCATTGCAGATTCAATATGTTTATCTTATGTCATTAAAAGACCAAACTGTCTCAGTTCTCGATTCAAAATCATGTCTATTATTTCTCTGGAAGTAATTGTTGGTTTTTTGGTGTGTGCATTGGTTGGATCGGTTTGGATCAATCAGAGAGTATTATGCATTATAATCTCAAATAAGGCAACCTTAAACATGCGTAAATTGCAGAGAGGAATCAAAGGTCAATAACATTATTGAGCTAATTATATGACTTATTTGGCAAAAAAATATATATTATAAGACTCTTAAAAGAGCTTACCTCAACTAATTAGGATGATTCTTATGATGTTCCACTCTCAAATTCATCAGGGTAAAATGCAGGCACTAGGCACAATAAAATCCCATAGATGATCAAGTACAATCATTTGAGGACCACTGAGAGACATTCTAAAATATATATCTTAAAATCAAAAGAAGCTAACAGCTAATAGCAAACACTTAAGAGTCGGGCCAATTACCACTGCTTGAAGTATTAAGAGGCCTCAAGGGCTTTAACTGCGGTGGTTTTTAAAAGAGGGAAATATTTTGTGCCACTGGGAGATTAGAAACAGTTAAGAGCACAATCAGCAAGATGAAAAAATATATACGAGAGAAAAACAGCCAAAATTATGCTGCTGGATTTTACTTGTGATAATTTATATATCAAGAACTTAAAACAGTGGAAAGAGCCCAATCTACTGATTTCTACCCGAGGAATGCCGGTACTAACAATTCCTAAGTAGGGTCTAAGACTCAATTGGATATTTCTGGTTCCAATATTTTGTAACTAACAGGAAATAACTAGAAAATTGGACTCAAAAGAGTACAAAAATTAGTAGTGACATAGAAGGAATAACCCAGAATAATAACACTCAGTAATAGCTGAAAATCAATAATCAAAACCTAAACTCCACATGCATATATGTATATATATATATATATATATATATATGTGCGTGTTTGTGTGTGTGTGTGTAAGCTTCATCAACCTAGGCCTCTAGGTCACTATATATATACCCTAAACCCATAGAAAATAAAGCCCAACTATCTAACAAATAAGGTCCAACAAAATAAACCACACAAAAGCCCATAGATAAACTAAATCCTATTTCCTAAATTTACACCTAGAATAGACATTCTTCCAAGTTTTGCAAGAATGTCCTCCATCAAGTAGTCTCTTGTCAGAATGGTTTATGACTGACAGGTGAACTCAGTTTGAAAGCCCAACAATGTCAGGAATTCACCCTACCAAGAGACCTCTGTTCCAGAATTGAGAATCCAAGGTTATTATTTTTGCCCGATAATATTTTTCCATCTTCATAAATCTAAAATAACGAGCATTTGACAGATATAAAGTCAAAATTACTAAACATTGTCTTCTAGTTGCTACAGCTTCAGTGTTCTCTTTTCAATAGTAAATAAATTTCAATAAAGAAAACACTCAATAAAACTTTATTACAACTCTTGCAGCACAGTTCTACGTCAAAAGGAGTAATAATCGAGACACACACAAACCTGTATATACAGAGAGAAGGGGATAGATATTGCACTTTATTGGTAAATAAAATCTTAATGCAATGAAAGCATACAACATTAAATCCCAGAGCCGAACTCATACCTTGAGCTAAACTACATTCAACATCTTCCTCAATTTTACTCAAATGTTGTACAGCAGCATTACACTTGTTTAAAGCAGTATCCTCATTTGGATTGTCCTCGAGTACAGATTGATATGCACTTAGAATCTTTTCTGGAAGACCTCCAACAGCCAATTTCTGAAGGTAAGATGCCCAAGAAAAGAAAACATATGCAAAATCACAAAAGAACAAGCAAGAAAACGTTTAAAGTCATAAAAGAATACAAACAAAATGGCTTGAACAGAATTGATAAATCCAAAGTGGAAACGAGAATTGAATATAGAAATTCTTACAATTCTCACTGCATATGCATCCCTCTTTACTATCCTGATAGGATTTGAGCTTTTTCCATTATTCACTGACGGAGGAGGAGGAGGGGGATTCTTACCAAGCATTTCATCTTTAAGATTCTGCCCTCGAGAACCAAAAACTTTTCTTTCTTCCCATATGCCAACCTAAATAATTATCATGCAAGCCAGCAACACCATCCCACCCAAAGCCCCATCACGTCAAAAGAAAAAACCACGAAAAAGGAGGGGAAAAAGAGGAAAAACTACTCGTTAAATGATAGGACCACCATAAGAACAAAGTAATAAAACAGCATAAACTACTAAAACACACCCAGGATATGCCATCCTAAGTACAGAAAAATAACTAGCATCTTATACTTCCATAAGTTGTGGGCTATGAAACCAAAAAAACTACTTGAAAAACCATGTATCCAAAAACTTTGATAAGGGCAACTCTTCCTCATCAATGAATCTAAACCGGCAATACTCACTTATAAATGATAATGTAAACAACAATAGAGTTAAATAATAGAAAAACAACAAATAACCATAACTCATATACATCAAATCAAAGCGAGAAAGAGAGATTATACCCTGTATGTGCTTACAAGAAAACATTCTACCATTATATTCTACTTTGGCTGGAATTAATCAGCAAGGGACAAACAACTTTTTAACTACTTGCATCAAGGCAACTAATTAACCGTATCCGAGTATTTATTACATTAACCATTTACAACCAAATAAAGCCACTTCAAAGAAAAAGAAAACAAAATGCAAGAATGACAATAAGTTACCCGATCCAGATTGAGTATTATGAAATGATTCCACATGAAAGAGCACTAAACAATAGCAGATGCATAAACATGCAGAGCAATATATTAAATGTCAAGAGAAAGAGAGATGAGGAGAGCACAAATAACCAAAAGTAACAAGTTTTGACATACAAGCCATCAAATTCCTCAGAAAGTGATAGAGAAGCCATAAAAGGATAAATAAAAGCTATCGCATAATTGGACCAGTAGTTAAAACAAGAAGTAGCTAATCCATTTGACACAAGCAAAAGAAAGCAGACTGATCAAATTGAATAACTTACCAGTCTGGTTACCGCTTTCTTTCCATACTCATCACCATTTTCATATACATGTTTGAGAGCTGAAGGAAGAACTTTCCAGAATTCATTCACAAACTCACTTCCCTTTCGCCGGCTATTTTGCAAAATGTCATTAGCCAAATACAAAAAAGAAACACGCTGTTCTTTCTGGGAAGAGTTAAACAATTTGTCCCATGTTTCAACAATCTGTTTTGCCTTCTTCCGGTGAGTAATACACCATCGAGACAATGCTGAACCAATGTTAAGGAAATGCATGCCAACATCATTTCATAGTTATAAATAAGAAATACAAGAGGTATATAAGCAACAATGAGATGGTGCTACCTATTTGAGGAATAAATTTCATCAAGAACCATTCTTTCTCACTGGAGATTTTCTATTTGGTGATAAAATTATGTTGTGTTTCATATTGCAGATAGCTTTTATAGATACCAAACAAGGAACCATTACTACTCGCAATGACTAACACTTGAATGAAAAATAGTTTTATAAAAAGTTTGCAGCATCAACCACCTTCAAAAGATTATATGACTATATATATGGCCAGTATGCTATGTGCGCAGAAAATCTAATTACGCAAGACTCAATTGGAGACCAAAGAGACTCAAGCTAATTCAGAAATCAACAATAATGTCAATAACAGGTCCTCAGCCAAACAAACAGTTGTAAACATCAGTATCACCAAGAAATTCCTGAAAGCATCAATCCAAGGCCCACAGGCATTAATAATTATGGTTATATCACACATCTTAGAGGAAAAATTAGTAGTTGCAGATAACTTACATAAACTCATTCGCCTGTCAATCTAATCAAAATACATTTAGTGTTTAATAAAGTAACACTCCTAACCCACCAGAAATTAAACTTAGATAATATAAAACAAGATAAATTCACAATCAAACCTCTCTTGGACCAAAAACAAAAAGGCCAAACAGGATTAATTACATGGTGAGAGACCTACAAACCACAGTATAAACAATGTCCCAAAAGCAAAACTCATAAAATAAATACCTTAATAAGAACTAAAACTAAAGAAACTACAAACAAAACAATTTAACACATTCCTAGTACAAAAGGAAAGTAAAAATAACATTGAAAAGACAACTGTTTGCCAATTATCTCATTCTACTACCAATATGCTGGTTTGAGAAAGAAAATGCACCAAAAAAAGAGCAGTTACAGATAATTTCCAAAACTAATTTCACCAAGTTAGATCAAATAAACAAGGTGTTACAGGAAGAAACTAATGCTCTCCACTCCCTATATTTCAAAGATGATGAATGATAGAAACAAAACAAGCACAGGTTACCTACTTCATGAGAGCCACTCAGTCTAAGTCTTAGTTAAAAGGGATTGCGTAGGGGAATATAAAAGATCACCAATGAACCAAATGATAGCCATCTAAGATAGACAGTCAGAGATCCAAAGAAAGACAGCTAAAGGCAGCATAAATATGTATTGCGTTAGCTCTAAAAAAAGAATCACCAGAAAAATGTACATGATTATCAAATAGAACAACACTAGCAAAGTGTAAAGAAAAAAAAAAAGCGACACAAGTTAGAGAAAAAACCTTATTCATCTAGAAAGCAAAATGCTCAAATTCAACCAGAACAAGAGTTTCAAAAACAAAAAATTTAATATGTTATGATGATTGTGTGCAAAAGTTTCTAAGAAGAACAACTGGTGCAGTCGTGAGATACTAAATTCAAGCATAGCGAGACCCGGACAGTAAGAAAATAACAAGAAACATGTAAAAATAGAGGATATCATGACATGATAAACATAAAAGCATCACATCAGCTTACATCATAAGGACCATAATCAAAGAAAACATACACAGGGTACTTCATGAGAGAAAAAGAAACAGGATATATTCTTAATCAAATCTAGAAGTTAAGTTCTATGTTTATACAGTGAGAGAAATACTTATCTAAAAGAAAACAAGGTAAACAAGCAACACCTCTTCTTCAATTATGAACTTTAGAATTACACTAGATTCCAATGATCGGAGTGATATTGTAATTATATAGCACTTATGGAAATAAGAAATTATCCACGTCTACTATTGTCTTCACAAAAACCTTCAAGTAAGTTTGAAACCGTAGGATACATTCAATGCTTTGTTGTGAATTGTTGAGTTTTGACAGTTGCTCAGTTAGAATCTGTCCATCAAAAGCGTCATCGCTCATCTTGCTGATTAACAAGCTTTTACATAGCCTGCAGCAAACCCTTTCAGTTATGGGAATTTATAACGAAGGGGCTTACCAGAGAAAAGAGCACTACAAAAAAAAGTAAAATTACTATTCCTAAATACTCAAGAGATCTTTCTATAAGTTTAAAATAGATATAACATGTAAACTATTTAAATTTCATGGAAGCATTGATGCAAGAGGAATTATTGACATTTTGTTCAGAGAGACAAAGTATGAGATTTCTCCAATGATTCAGATTAGTGGCACAAGAAGATTCAAAACTACAATCCACCATGATTCCTTTTTCAGCCTTTCATACAGCCAACCCCAAAGTTATGGGGTATAAGGCTAAGTTTGTTGTTGCTGTTGTTGTTGATTCAGATTATACTTAACTTTTCCATCTCATTCTCAAATTACAAAGTATCTTTCAAAGGATCCACCAAATAGCTATTAACTCCAGATGCCACATAAAAGTCAAGAAGGCCTAAAATCTCAATTCCACATTATCAGGTTCGTTTCTAGTCCAACCATTAAATTCTATTAAAACCCCCTCAAGCATTCCCAGCCCATAAGAATCATGCCATTTTAGTTTGATAGCAACTTTGGCTGCATCAAAACAACCATCCTAATTATCCATAGAGGTCATCACCATGGCTAGAATTGTGAAATACTCATTTGGTAGCCCCCTAATGCAAGTCTAGCAGTTCAAGAACAATTTTTTTCTTAATTTATGATCTCCCGCATTGCACTTGACCTTGATACATATTACATGCCCATTTCAAGCATATTTTTCTTTTTTTATGTACTTTTTGTTAGTAGTTTATAATGACGGTAACAAACCAATCCCATATTATCTAGAAAAGCCACTTCTAAAGGGTATTTAGAGAGCTAATCTTTAGTCCGATATAGTTAGGACAAATGATGAATTTGAGCCCACGTGCCAATCTTTGACTTTTAATATTCATTCCACCAGAAGAATCATACGAACCCACCATCAAGCACAAAGCACTTAGTCGAAATCCATCATTTCTCCAAACTATATTGGAGTGTTGATTTGCCTATATCCCCTTGTATTGCCAATCTAAAATTTTAAAGAAGATTGAGTTATCAAGAATTCTCAGAAATTTATGAATGAATTTTCCCCCTGTGCCCCCTCCCCCTCTTCTTCTCTCTTGCTACAGTATTCTTGAGTTACTTCCCCTCATTGGAACCTAACCACATTCCCTCTCTAGTGACTTTCAAACTTAATTCTTGCCTCATATTTTCATATCGATTACCACCAGTCAGACCTGTCAATTCAACAATTAAAGTTTCCTTCTCTTTCATCTTTCTCTGGAGATAAAATCTCAATGAATCCAATCGCTGATTGATTCCTAAACCCTAACCTTGTTCCTACAATAGCAATAAACCTAAAATCCCTCATTTTTCCAGTCCTAACCCACCATAAACCCGAAGAAGACAAACTTCCACATTGCTTCCCTAAACTTTTAATTTGTCCCAACAAAATTGAACCATGGTACACCAAGATATTTTTATACGACACCAACTCATAATTATGAAATTTCGCAATTAATGTCCCTTTCCTTCTCCTCTTTCAATAATAAAATACAGAAGCATAATCTCAAAACATTTCCTCAAGCTTTCACAAATTTACACCACTCTAAATGCCATGAAGACCACGTCATCAGTCTCATAAATCAATACTTACAAATTAGCATTTTTCAACTATACCTTTTTCATTTTATCCATAATGTTTATAAGCTAAGGCCTCCACAAATTACACACCACATTCAAATCTATATTGGTCTAACGCATTCTTCTACTAGCAAACAACATTAACAAATACTTCTCTAACTCTGAAATCTTTTTGCAAATAAAAAGATATATAAGAGAAGTTCTTATTGAAACTAATTGAACACATTAAAAGTCAAATTATTTAATTTTACAACTTACATAGAATAAATTAAAACTAGAAACCAATTTAAAAAAAAAAGGAACTCCTAACTGTGCCTAATATCAAAATTCTTCACAGAGCTGACGTCAGCTTCCAAGGTTTCAAATTTCAATTTCATTTCTACTTAAGTTTCTTAGCAACCAAATACAAACCCTATGATTTCGAAACACGCTAAAGAAAATCCAACCAAGTATCCAAAGCAGAACGAAAGTGATAAACTATAATTTAATTACGATAATAAACATAGTACGAACCTGAGATTGTTTGGAGCAGTAGAAAATTAGGGACTCCTTTGTAGAGAGAGAAAAATTGGTGATAACAAAGAAAAACCCTAAAAATTATGAAAGAGAAGTAATGCCCTTATTTTCCTTTTTGCAAGAGAGGGAAAGAGAAAGACAGATACGAGTAAACCTGTCGTACAGAAATTTTTTTAGGAGAAAATAAAAATTAGAATATTAGGAAGCTTACGTGGGACGATCAGGGCCGTACATCTATAGGTAATTATTTAGTTTAAAAATTTAATAAAATTGTGTTTAATGTATTAATATGAATTTGTTTTGCCAGTGTACTTATATGAATCAAAATAAAATATTTTTGTATTTTATACGTATTTAATAAAAAATAAATACGTATGTGTAAATAAGAGTGATACAAAAAGCATGTTTTTTAATTGGATATTCGGTACTTGGATACTTTGTTACATCCGACCCGGAATGACCGGGCCAAGTACATAAACCTTCGAAGTTTGAACCTCGGTCCTCAAACCCTGGAAACGAAGAAGGTAAAAAAGAAAACATGGCAGAAGACACGTTGTATCTTCAACTGCACAAGCTTTCAGCCGTAAACTCAGAGGAAGTTCTCGAACAAATACTTACAACTCTCTGGAAAACCCGAAGATCTGGTCTTCGCCCGCCCGATAAGTCTCGGATTCAATCTCTTCTCTCTCTCCCTTCCCTCCCCGAACTCGACCCCGTAATTTTCCCTTTTCTTCCGCATTTTCTCAGTAACGGAACGCGCCTCTTTCAATTTTTTTCTTTTTACTTTTTATCATTTATTCGGTTTTGGTTTTTTTTTTTTTTGAAGTAAAATGTTTAACCTTGAAAGTTTAAATCATGAAAAAGATTCAGCAGGTTTTCATTCACATTTTTAATTTTAAATTGTTCAAAATATGATTTATTTTTTATATTTAGAAAAATAAATGATAAGTAGGTAGTGATAATTGATAAATGAATTGTTTTTCTTTCCTGTTTGTAGTGATAATTGATGAATAAATGATGATATGTAGAAATATGTGATGAATAGGTATTGGCATGCCTTCGTTCGCTTATCAGGAAATGTGTACATGAAAATTTCAATGGCGATGATCTTTTGAAGCTGTTTCCACCTGGTTTGTCACTTGATTTTCAAAGCATTCTAGTTTTGTTGTTGCAGAAATATGCAAGTCAGTGGAAGGAAGAAATAGCAAAAGAACAGGTAAGCAGTAACGTCTATTGAACTTGTTTAAAAAATTTAATGATATTTTTGTCTGTTTATTGTTACATGAATGTGCATTGGTGATTTGAGTATTAATATGTTAGCAAATTTCACATATTGAGCGTGTTTATGATTGTTTTTCAAATTGGATTCAATCCCCTTTTATTCAATGTGAATGGGGGTTATATAAGTTGATTCATTAGTGAGTTGATTCAGAGGTTGTTGCTAAGAAATGTTGCACCTTGAAGACGTTTTTGATAGTTATTCAAGTCAAATTCAATTTTATTCAATGTACATAGAGGATATATAAGTTGATAACTGAATGACTTGTTACTTTCACACACAGCCAAAAGTATCTGGGGATTTTGCAATTTGTCCAGAAAAGTTTAGGATGGGAACATTTTCTTTGAAGAAGAAAATGGGTGTGAAATTTGTAGCAAAGCCTTGTGATGTAAACATAATATACTCTAATTAGTAGTTTTAGACTGTTTACAATCTCCATTGAAAGCTGTTTTTGAAAAGTAATGTAATGTTTATTCTTCTCTTTTATTTTATCTTTTTAATTTGCATCATAGTTAGTTGTCCGGTTGTAATGTATTGTTGACATTCATCTTATCTAGCATCCACTGCCAAGGACCAGTGTATCCTATCAGGTAAAAGCAAGCGCACCACCTTCTTTCACACCATTGCCATCTTCTGATATTCCAACATCCTTGTGGCCTCGGCAAGATGATCCTATTGCCCGCATTAATCTCAGTGATTTTGGGGCTTCTACACCAATCATTGCTGATGCTGCTGGTTCATGTCGGGCTCCCTTGTTAATACAACAGGATGCTGGTCCTCCAGACAATCTGGTATATACAAATTCTTATTCATTTATTAATTTCTTCTTCATTAAATATAAATATAAATATAATTAATTATTGTTCATTCCATTGTCCATGCACTCTTCAACTAATCATTTTACTTCACCAGCTACCTCTTGGATTGCTCTGTCTTTCCTGGGAAGGGAAAATTTATGCTGCACCTTTTCTCCCATAATACCATTAATCCTCAAGTAGTCTAAATGAATCACTTATTACTCATTAAAATTTGCATGTGTGTGTTGGGGGGATGGGGGGGTTGATTTTGAATGCAAATGTTTCTCAAACTTTAAATTTGGAAGGTCAATTAAGGACTTTGGTATAATTTGCTTCTCAAAGGTATATTCATCTCCTTTCTTCAGAAAGTTGAAACCTCTGTCGCTTGCCTGTACATGCATGAAATGTGAGAATACTACTTCTTTTGATATGGCAGCTGGTCTGAGTTCTCCTACTTGATAGTCACTGGTTAGGTAGTTGAAGACTTGGGTTTAATTCTTGACTGAGATTTAATTTGCTTTATTGGGATATATGGTTGCCAACTTGCTGTCATTTGACTAATATCTTGGATTTCTTCAACCCAAAAATCTGCAAATGAATAAGCTATTGCACTTAATATCTCTTTTGTGGCATTTTTTTATTATTAATTTTATTTTATATGACTTAATTTGGTTATAGGAAGTTCTACCCCGCCTCAAATCAATGACATGGACCATGGAGAATCTCAACTCGGCACCAGCCAATAGAGTGGCTATTATCCATCTTAAGGTATGTGTATTTTATATGACAAAAGTCATCCTGTCTCCATCTGGTACGTTCTGAAGGCCTTCCCATCATCTTGGATGCCAGAATGGTGCCCATTTTCTGATATCTGGGGGAGATTTATAGTTTGAGGAACATTTTATATATTAAACTGCAAAAAGGAGAGACATCACATCTTCTGTCTGGTATCCTATGTGCAATTAACTTCTAGTGAAAGAATCACCAGAATTATTAGAGGATTATTGAAACTTAGACTTTAAGAGTATCAGGAATATTCTCAAAAAAAAAAAAGTTTCATTTGTTATGCCATATCAAAAACATGCTCTACAAGTCCATCCTCTGTTCATAGCAAGTGCTTTTCTATGCCTCGCCTTCCAGCTACTCCACAACCCAAGAAGGGGAAAATAGACGGAAAAAAAAACTTTTCCAATGCCCTGCTTCCTAACTTTCGTCTTTCCTGAATCCCTTCCTCCTCCTCCTCATGAGCTTTAGGACAACATGAGGTGTTAGCTGATGCACCAAATGCAGGCATAAAAGTCAATGTCACATATCACTACCAGATGATACCAGATCTAGGGATCCCTCGGGCAGGAAGGCTTTGAATTTTTTTTTTTTCTGCATGAATTTGTGTTTCCAACTTTGGACATAATAGCGCCCAATACAGGTAATCATAACAAGTAAGAAATGCTTTTCCCTGCTGGTTACCAGCACCTCTTTCTTTCAAATTGTTTGATCCATATTAATTTGCCAATTACCATTTGCTTCATCAGATTGGTTAGACTCTCATTATAATGGCTCTTGTCTTATTTATCGAGTTGGGCCTTGAAAGGCCGAGGCTTTTTTTTATTTGGGAAGAGGAGGATTCAAGCCCTGCTCTTTGAGAGCTTGAGACTTTTTTGTGTACCATTTTCTTGACTTTTTCCCTATGTTAATTTCAGATGGTAAAACACTTTTTTTGCTGAGAAAGAAAGGAGTAAAACACTGTTAATTCCAGTAATTGTCAGTTACTTTATAATAAGGCTAGCCTGCACTTAAAACAAAAGCCAAACCTATAAATCCTGAGTGATTGAAATAACTACTTTGGCTGTTTGATCTGTGCGGTTTTCTGCTGTTGAGAAATTTGTTGCTACATTCCAAGTTTCTTATCCGTTTAAGTTTGTCAAATCTTATTGATGTGGTTAATGAATTTTATTCCTTTTTCTTGTACCTGTGGGCAGCTTCAAGATTATAGCAAGTCTCCTTCAGGAGAAATAGAAGTGAAATTTCAGCTGACTAAAGACACTCTTGAAGCTATGTTGAGATCAATGACTTATATCAGTGAACAACTCTCAAACATGGTAAGAATGCCTTTCTGCATCTTGTTATGGACCTTATGGTCCTTAAGAAGAGTTTGGAGAGTTAGGAACTCAGTTTTTGGGTCTTGAAGGTGTGCCTTGAATGCCATTACATGCTACTTGTCATGCTTATGGTTTTAAAATCTTTTAGCTACCCCCTACTCCTCTAGTTAACCGCAAAGCATTGTAAAGATTGTATTCGGAAGCTGTCTTGAATTTGTCCTCATTTCAATCTCTCAATAACTCTTTTTTATTGGCATATTCTTGAGAAAATGGCATACCGAATTTGTTTATTTGTCTTTTTATTTGACAGGCTGGGACATCCTCCGAGCCGGCACAGAAAAAGCAAAAGCAATAGGACTGCACAATCTTAGTCTGTTTCTTCTTTCTTTTCTGAATGCCATTATAATAGATTCATGTTATAACTTATAGTTATCAGCTAATGTTGGCGTAGATATATGTACTGATTACTAATGCATGTTCACAAGTACGAGTTAGAATTCATCTTAGCATGAATGTTGTTGATTGTCGACAGTCTCAATGTCAGTTCTTCCTAAAATTTCATAGTTTTAACTGTATTCTCTCATTTTCTCTCTTGGTCACATAAAATTTCATAGATTAACTATCAAAAAATTTTACACTTGTTTTTTTGTAGTTATAAATCCCAATGTATGGCGCCGGTAATTTTCTAATGAATATTAATACTAGATAGATTGTGTTGTCCATTTGATGGTGATGGAGTATAAAAAATCCATAAATTGATTTCTAATTTAAAACTGATTTAGGTAAATTTTAATTTAGATTTTAAAAATTTAATTTTTCTATATTTCTTTTTTGGCTGAAATAAGAAACCATGCCAAATAGCAATATTTTATTGCTTACAGATTTTCTTTTGATTATTTTTTTTCTTTGTACAAAAAATAATAATAGTTTTAAGAATAAGAGAAAAGATTTCAAATATAAAAACTTAAAATTTTATTGAATGTTACTCTCTCTATCTCATATTTTGGTCTATTTTTTTAAGATGTTTTAAAATTATGTCTTTTTTTTTTTGAATATCTATAACTTTTTTTATATCTTAAAATTTTTTTATATTAAAAAGTAAGAAATTTTAATTTTATAAAAAAATTTAAATTTTAATGTTAAATATATAAAAATTAAAATTTCTTTTAAAATTTTGTGAAAATCAATACATGATAAAAATTTTAAAATAAAAAAAAAGTATATTTGATTACATAAATAATCGAGTTAAATCTTGATTCTTCTATGATTCATTTTATAATTCAAAAAATGGGTAAGTCACACCAAATTTTGGTAGGAACGTAAAAATTCTAACATAGCCAATCTCTGAATACAAAAGATGAAGTCCTGTTAAAGACTTTAAAGTCGGCTACCGACCAGCAAAAGTTAGCACACCAAGTGGGCCGCTGTGCCAAAAACAGATGCAAACCTGCCATCCTTTTCACATTGCTTTGTGCGTGCTTACGTGCTAAAGGTGCAACTGAAGGCTGAAGCAGTCAGCTTCATTTATTTTTTCTTTTTTTGCCTGTAAATTTTAGGTGGAAAAAGCTGCCAGCCAAGCCAGCAGCCTAATCCCTGCTTTCCACTTGCCAGAGTCCAGACTAGAATTGAGTTCATGTTTTTTTTTCTTTCTTCTTACCCCAAACAACAAACATGGCTAGGCAGGCAGGCAGGCAGGCATGCAGGCACATCTCTATACTCATTGGAACCACTAGTAGACAACTTGGCATGTATTTTCTAATGCAAAACAAACATATAGAGTTTGTTAATGCCAAACTTTATATCCACATGTAGATTGATGATTTCCCCTTGTGAGGCTGATTAAAACTTTCTAAATCGAGTTGACAATGAAAATAGGATTAGAGGAGCAACTAGTGTTCGAAAACATTGACAACTTTCTTTGATCATATATTATAAGAGTTAAGGGATATAATCGAGCAACTTAATCTAACAATTTATTTAATCTGATAATTTATGTATTTATATATTATCTGTTTCGTATCAAATACATGCAAAATATAAATTTTTTTATATCATATCAATTTTGTATTATTTTTGCTACAAATTTTACATTTTATCATTTTATATTTTTTTTATATCATTTTCTTATTATTATATCATATTTAAAATTATCACACGACAGTGAAAGGTGAGACCAAGAGTCTTCTACCTCCGGTGTGATATAAATCACAAAAGCAAAAGAATGCAAGTACCTATAGAAGGAGAAAGATGGGAAAATATGAGAAAGAAATAGCACGAATATACTAGAATAGAACACTTCATCTGTTCTACAAACAAAATATAATTTACAAGAATTTTCAAGGATCAAAATCAACCGTTAACATCAACCTGCCTCACTTGAAAGGCAGAAAAGAACCAAAGAAGAAAAAAAGAAATCAAACCATAACTCATTCTTGAAGAAATCAATCAAAAACTCAAAAGAACATGACTACCATTAATCAAAAACATGATGGTAACCAAACTAAAAAGAGGGAGGAGAGAACAACCGTTATTAGAAGGAAACTGAAACCGCCAAAATCTCTACTTTTCTTTCTTTCTGAACTATAGTTTGTAGCTTTCATTCAGAATTACTGGAGCTGGAGCTGGAACTAGAATTTGAGTCATACTTTTAAGGTTTGATACTTTGATTTTTCAGATGCTTCTTCATATTCATTTTCTGGTCCACCAGCAGCATTCTCACTATTTTCTTGAATACCAGAGACTACATCACTAACTTCAAACTCTTTAGGAGGAACCGCATCATGCCGCTCTACTTCTGATGATCCATTCCTTAAGCCTGAGGAATGTGGCAGCTGAGCTGGATTAGATTCTGGGCCTCGTTGGAAAGCATTATGGATATCCTCTAGAGATCTTGCCTCAACAACAGGTAATTTCGAATTGGTATCTGCATGATCCTGCTGATTCTGAATTATACTTGGAAGAATTACTTCCTCAAAATCCACACCTTCATCAAGTTGCTTAAAAGCCAACTCAATATCTTCTACTGATCTTGCTTCAAGAACAGGAAGCTCCACATTTGCCTCCGTCTTTCTGTCTTCTGTTTCTTCGTTTTCATTTTTTTGTTCACCAGCTGCATTCTCACTATTTTCTTGAATACCAGAGACAACCTCTTTAGTAGAAACCACATCATGCTGCTCTACTTCTGATGATCCATTGATTAAGTCTGTGGATTGTGGCAGCTCAGCTGGATTAGATTCTGGGCCTTGTTGGAAAGCATTATGGATGTCCTCCAGAGATCCTGCCTCGACAACAGGTAGTTTTGAATTGGTGTCAGCATGATCCTGCTGATTCTCAATCATACCTGGAAGAATTACTTCCTCCACATCTACTGCACCAAGTTGCTTATAAGCCAAATCAACATCTTCTACTGATATTGCTTCAAGGCGCTCTGCTTCAGATGATCCATTCCTTAAGTCTGAAGAATGTGGCAGCTCAGATGGATCAGATTCTGGGCCTTGTTGGAAAGCATTATGTATATCCTCCAGAGATCTTGCGTCAACAACTGGTAATTTTGAATTTGCATCTGCATGAGCCTGCTGATTCACAATCATACTTGGAAGAATTACTTCCTCAACATCTACTCCTTCATCAAGTTGCTTAATAGCCAAATCAATATCTTCCACTGATCTTGCTTCAAGAACAGGCAGCTCCACAGTGGTCTTGGTCTTTATATATTCTGGTAACAGTGCAGACTCAGTATAGGCAACATGAGATTCTTCTGATAAACCAATTTCCTTGACATTAAAGTCCCCAACAGTATCCAGCTCAGAGAGTATTCCTTCATCAATCTCTTTAATCTCATCTTCCTCTTCACTGATATTTTCCTCGTTAACATGAGTGGCATATACTTCTGCATAACTAAAGTGTTCTGATACTTCTTTGGGGCCCTCACTTTCAATTTTGTTCAGGATCTTGTCTTTCAGATCTTCTCGATCTGTTGGTAACGTATGTTTGGTACTCTCAAAAGGAGAAGAAGCGGACTCCAAAGTCATGGAAGATAAATTTGTTGAGAGTTTGTCCTCAGAATCATGAACTTCGTGTATATTTGCATCATCGTTGACAATGTTTAGTACCCCTCTAGACTCACTTTCAACTAAAGATGGTTCCTGAATCAGAGTTAGTTTCGATATCACCAATTTAATATAATTAGGATATGTTTTCTGACAAAAACACCCAAATACCATAAAATTTGGGATATATTATTTGGGATACATTATGTGAAACGCAGGGAACCATAGTACAATATCTATCAAGTAATAGCAGATATGGAAAGGGATGCATGAGAAAGCGAAGAATTCAACTCCTAAGAAAATTCAAATACATCCAAGGAAATTCAAATATTTAATGCAGCAAACTTCTTAAACGCCACGGGATTTAAGCCTACACGCAATAAGAACATTTCATACCAGGAAAATCAATCACTCAGCCCAATGAAATTTTAATTAGCTGTAAATATATGAATATCACATAATACATGTTTAATTAGTTGTAAATATATGAATATCACATAATCAATTCTGTAGTAGATAAAGAAAGAAACAGAAAAGGGGAAAAAAAAGAAACCACGAAAAAACAAACGGTATAGATTATCATTTTAGTCCTACCAAACTCCAAGCTCGCAAAAGAAGAATTCAGAACAGGGAAAACTTCATCTAACAAGAGCAAAATAAGCATCGGATATTTAATAATTTAAACAAATTATTGACGACAAAATTTGCAAAAAATAATTGGTAAGATTAATCTTCAAAGAAGTTTGGCAATTCATCCAGGCGAGGAAATTTAAACAAATAGAAGAAATACTTACATAACTTACCCCAAGTTTATCATGTTCATCAATAGGTGGTTCATCTGTAGGTTTATCAGACCACAACAACTGTTTCTCTGATTCTGGTGAAGGGTTTTCTCTAGAAGGCACATCTAGATAACTAGAGTCTGAAGGAATTTCCTCCACATTGATACCACGGTCGAGACCAGTATAAATATTTGAATCAGAACATGGTGATTGGACTTGATCCATTTCAGATTCCTTTTTATGCTCCTCTCTGAGGTTAGCCTCTGAAGATTGAGTTTCTGAAACTTGAGCCATAACTACATGACCTGGTTCCTCTGCTGTGGATGGACTTATATCATTGGAAGGCATATTCCGGTAAGTCAAAGCTATGGAAGACAACTCCTCATCCTTATCGTGGTGGCCATCAACATCAAGACTTGCATCAGAGTTTGGCGAATGCATTTGATCACATTCAGTCTGGATGATTTCTCCATTAGGCATAACACTGCCCTCTATTAAGTTATCCTCTGGTGAACTTGACAAATGAATTTCATCTTGCTCAAGCTGAGTGTCTTTCTTGTCAACCGCACACCTATCTACAGGTTCAGCCTCTGAAGATTTGTTGTGGTGGATTGGATGCTGTTGTTCCTCTGGTGAAGAATCCAACACCTCACCAATTTCTTGGTCAACTGCAACAGTCGTCTCTGCACCAAGGCTTGATAAGTCCACTTGATTCGGGGTAAAGCTTTCTTCCTTATTTGGCACATCCTCCTTCAATCCCTCATACAAAGATGATGACCCTGCATTCGTTGAAACATACTCAGCCACAGATTCAGGCACCATCGATACAATATGAACAGCAGAAGTGGAAGAAACCCCTGATGAACCAGCATATGTAACACCATGCTCACCATTCTCTGGCAGATCCCTTGCCCTTGGTTCATTTCCATTAACAGATGAAAATGAGAGGAAGTTCTCAATAGATGGAGGACTTGAATCATAAACAGGCTCTCTACGTTGATTATCATCCACCACCCTACTTGTAAAATGCAACTCTGATTCCTCAAACGAAGGTTGTGTAGAAATGCCAGATTCTTTAATTTCATGATCTCTGGGTTCAAAACCTGCAGATCCTTCTCCTTTGACATCAGATATCTTTTCATCTATTTCTGATAATGATGACAAACTTGATCTACTGCTATAACCCTCCTCAACTGGCTCTGTTCTGGGATGAATTTCATATGCATCGAGTTCAACATGAGTAGTTGCTCCATATTCAGACAAATTTGATTCCATTTCCAACTGACTTTCTCCATCTCCCAATGTGATTTCAACCATGTCATGGTGAACATTTCTGTTCTTGGCATGGTCAACATCCCCAGATGATTGGCTTTCTTGTTCATCACGGACAGAAGCATGATCTTCATTCAAGTTCAGTTCAGTTTCTTGAGAAACATCTAGCTCATTTGGCTTGTTGTCCTCCTCATCCACAACTGAACTCGCTGATTCAGTATCAGGAACAGAACTCAACTTCGACTCACTAACTTCACTTGACTGCCTCTGGAATGAGGAAGGGCTAGCTCCTTCGGTTACAAACCGCTCTGGAACAAAATAAGGTTTCCACTTAAGCTCTTGCCGAGGAACACCCAGAGATGATGGTCCCACATTGAAGCTTTCATGTCTTCGAAAGAAGGCTTCTCTTTGGGAAACTGTTTCCCTTTGATTAAAACCTGAAAACTCTTCTTGGAAACTGTCTCCTTTAAGATCAGGTTTTTCCTCACCTGAATCATAAGGAAGATCAAAAGGGTTTCTTTTTGGCTGCAAATTGGGTGGAGCTGACCCAGGAATGGGAGGTAACCCTAGGTCATCATAGGAAACATAGGGAAGTTCAAATGGGTTACGTCTTGTTGTAGAAATTGGTGTGATGTTTAAGGGAATATCAGCACTGTCTAAGTCTATTAGATTCTTCTCAGCCATAAAACTCATGCTTTTACGGGCTCTTCTCCTTGCAATAAGATTCTCCAATCGTTGGTTTCTTTCAAGCTCCAAAGTCCCCAAATCCATGAGATTTTTCTGATCATCCTCCGTCCATTTAATTGCAGATTTACTTTCATCCTCTTTATCTCCCTTTGTTCCTTCTCCCTCACCCTCATCCTCCTCATTATCATTATCTTCCTCCCCCTGGTTTTCTGACTCATCTGACTCAACACTTTCATCATTACTGCTATCATGAGACCTCTCTGAGCCAGCATCAGAACCATCATGAGACATCTGAGCAGGCTGTGGAGCTTCTGAACCCAAAAGTGGATGCAACTCATCAAGCATCAGAATTATATCTGCCATTGAAGCATCAGGAGAGGAACTCTTGGCGCCACCAGAACCAGAGTCCAAAGATTCATCATCATCTCCATCACCATCATCATCCCCGAAAACTGCTGGAAATTTACCATCCTCCACTTCAAGATTCCTGTCACGTACCTCATTTGCCAAAAGATGTTGATCCTTCACAGCCTCCCCCATACTCAACAGACCTTCACTCCCCTGCATCTCCAACTGAATTTCCCTCTTCTTCTCCACTAATGAATCATTCAACATTCCATCCACCCCATCAATCACACCATTCTCACAACGAATATCCCTAGAATCCAAATCCTCATTAACCAACGGCGTATAACAAACTGAACCATCATCTTCCTCAATTTCACTGACCTCATTATCAACCAAACTAACTTTCTCATCAGCATTCTCGACTATATCCCACCTCTTCCCTACATGTCTTTCTACAACAAAACCATCATCACCAACATCTCTCTTGATAACAGTATCATCCTCAGTAGCCCCAGTTTTCAATGGTGAAACTTCATGACTAACTTTCTCTTCTTCCTTTTCGTCGATTTCAGGTATGTTTGGTGACCCAAAACTCAAAAGGGCACCAAGCAAAACAGCAGTACAAACCAGAACAGGGGATGCAGTAACCAAAACAGAAAACAACAAAGGAAATGATCTATACAAAAATATCAAAAAACAAACCAAACCAACCAAAATTGGATGATTCCAAACCGATCTATAACATGTTTTAACTGATATCACCATAAATTTCCTAACTCTAACTCCAAATTCCAATCTTTCAAGCGCCATCTCTCTCTAAATATAAATTTATTTATTTTCAAATTCCAATCTGTTTCAAAAAAGAACCAATTAAAAGACAAAACAACCCATTGGATCCAAAGGAAACAAATTCATCACAAAATTTAAGTGTACACTCACCTTAGAGGTAGAATTAAATGAAAGAGAGAACAACCAAATGAAGATCAACCCAATAGCTGCAAAGCAATAATTAAGAGTTTTTGAGTAGTGAAATTGATAAATAAACAAAAAAAAAAAAGAAGGAAATTTAATTCAAAGAAGAAAATTTTAAGCAAACCTGAAAATTCTCAATCACATAAAAATGAAAACTTTCATGCAAGGCATCAAAAACCCAACAATACCAGGGAAAACCAACAAACCCCAAGGTCTTTGAAGCTTGGGAAATTGAAACTTAAGGAATTTTGAAAATGGGTTAAATACAAAGAGATCAGGAATTAAAACAAAAAAAAAAAAGGCAAAATGGAATCCTCTGTTTCTTCTCTCTTTCTGCTTACTTTTTTGGTTTAGCAAAACAGCTATGAAGTTGTAATTGCTTTGTTTCTCTTCTGAATTTAATTGTTTTGCTTTGTGAGAGATGGCACAAAAGGAAGAGAAAGATTGAAAACGAAAGGAAGAAACTTCCCATTATATTCACTTCTTTCTTCCTTCTTTTTTTTTTTTATTCTTTCTAAAAAAGAATATTTAATATAAGAATATATATTATAAGTTGTGACCACATTTATAAGAATATATAATCTAGTATTTTATTGCCAACACCAGCCTTATTAAAGTATATATTACATCAATGAAATTTTTTCATACGAGATTTTTTACGATCGAAATTATTTTAAATTTTGATTAATTTAAAACTAAATTAGATCAAATTTTATAAACATATAAACTCTTTTAAATTTATTTTTTATTTATAAAATTTAAAATTAATTTTTTATTTAAAAAAATTAAACTCTTTATCATTTAAATCAATGATGATAATACATCAATGGATTTATTATTTTATGCAGAGTGGATTTTGTTTATCATGATTACTATTACATCTGGTAAACAGAATTTTATTCTTTTAATGCTTTCAAACAAAGTTCTGCTGTTCCCATACTTATATTATATAAATGTAGAATTATTAACATTTATGTCTAATATGAAAATTTTATCTTGAGTACCCCATGAATTTTTTCAAAGTCTTTTGTGGATTTCAATTGAAGATGAAGCAAGATTCAAGACTTTTTAAGGCAATTAAAGGAATATGTAAAAGTCTTGGTTGATTTGAGTAAAGTACATAGATAATTAATTTCCATTTAATGCTTCAATGGAAAATTTCAAACAACTTGCCTTGCAAGGGCAATAATTAAAAAAATTTAGAAACAAAAGAAAAAAAATTATATTTGTAGATAAAAAAAATTTTGAGAAAAATCCTCTTCACTACTTAAAAATTAGTAAAAGTTTTTAGTATTTCATCTAAGGGTGATAAATGCATTTTAAATTAAATTTATAGTTGAAATTTAATAATTTTAAATTAAATATAAATTAATTAAAAAATGATTTAAGTAAATATTCATCATAAATTTAGTTAAAAATATATTTATCACCCTTAAAAAAATAATGAAAACTTTCACTAATTTTTAAATAATAAAGAGGATTCACTCAAAAAAAATTATAAAAAAAAATCATAAAACACAAATTCCAATATGATGAGAGGATTTCATCATGCTTTCAAATTAAGTCTTGATCAATATTGTTTTTATTATATATATAATACATCACATTGACACCATATAAAACCACATACTTACTATTGAAGATGGAAGAGGTCCCAACACTAAATGATGTTGTAATATTGAATTATCTTAGTGAAGGAAAAAGGAAGGAAATGGACCACTATTACATGCTCAAGGGATTTGGTAACCTTTTACTTTGTTAAAATGGATAATTGATTGCTTTTTTAATATGACAATCTCATCACTTAAACTTTAGGTTTTCTTTTTAATTACACAATCTAATCACCCATAAACTTCGCTTAAACTTTAGGTTTTCCTTTCTTTTTAATATGACAAAAACAATGGGGCAAAGAAGGGCACCTGCCATGTGCAAGAGAAGCATGGAAAGGTAAGTGGGGGCCAACCCCTTGTTTCAACTTTCTAGCAAAAATTTGGCTTGTTACCAAACAGTAAACAATTTATCTTCATGAGACATACCAATTTTTAAGAATAGTTGTATGAACTAATGGAATTATATTGAATTCACCATTTTCTTGCTTATAAGCACATGAAATTTCAAGCACTAAAGTCTAGTTTTACTTGCATGATGAATCTTCTGTTAATAAATGTGAGAAGGTTGCATTGCATCCATGAATCATTCCTAGCAAAACAAAATAATATCGCATTGGATAAATCATTTGATAGTGGTTTGAAAATTTATTGTCCTTCACAGCAGAGTTTTGTTATGCAGCTGTGAAAGCTCAAGCTATCTAATGCAATTAATCGGTTGGCTGTATTAAAAGGTTGCATCCAGGCTACCATTTGCGTTTGACATTTGATTGCTTAAAATTTGAAAGAAGAATGAAATTGACTAGAACCCTGGTTAGGGCCATGCCAACTTGCTTATTTCACTTGTTCTGCAACAGCTGCTTCGCCCACCTGGATATCTTTGCAGCTGAGTGACAGCTCTTGCACCTGAATGTCAATGCACTCCAAATTTGAATGATTTGCTTCCTCACCAGATGATAATCCACTTTCATTCGACATGTTAGAATCATGGTCTAAATCTGGCGAACCTGAACGATGTGGTTCGGACAAATACGAACGATGAGACTGTGAAGCAGAACTAGAGTCCAGGAAATTTGACTTTCTAATATCATCCTCCTTCATCTGTTGTGCATATGCTTGATAATCAAATCCACCTGTGCTTCTCCCACAAAATGCAGCATCCAGCTTGTCCAAATCAAAAACTTCTTCCATTATTTTCAGGCTCTTTGGATCATCAGAATAGACAAATTTCATTTTCTTGCATGTCTTAGGCTCAAGGAATGGCTTCACTATCTGCCACAAAGTTCCAACCCATTAATATCATATGAACACCATGTACACAATGAGCAAATATTTTTGGAAGAAGATTAAATGAAGGATAAGGAAATAATAACATACTGTCCAGGCAGATTCAAATATTTTTGGAGGATTATAGAGGATTCCTAGGCCCAGTCTCTCTGGATAATGATCCTGCAAGATATGAGCTGTTTCCCGAGTCACCTTAACAGACACATTTGCCATTGCAAACCCCTGGAAATCTACTAGCCAAACCATTTGCTCCTGATATTGGTTCAAATTCATTATGGCATTTTCCATGCAATAAACCAAATATTTGATCTGTCCTGATGTTGAGTTCGTATTCTGAAAAGGTGAAGTTGTCCAAATTCACCATAATCATCATGAATAGAAAGCTAGAATAATAACATATGCAAAGCCAGATAATTCCATCCAACTAGTACCTGGAAACCAGGTCTCATGACAAGAACAGGCCTCCCAAGTTTGTCACTGTAATTAGGTCTGTAAATTTTTCCTGTCTCGGCTTCGTGAGCAATATCTTCCTAAAAGCATTATAAAATGTTAGTAACGGCAAGAAGCTCAAGCTCCCAGGTAGCCAATAATTATAGTTAAAAGTCGCACTCCCAGAGATTCATTTGTGAAACAAAACAAATTCTGCTGTAATTTCAACCCTAACCATCCGGGGCACAGCATGGAAAGGCAGTTAAATATCCATACCATGAGAAGTAGAGAGGAATAATAGTAGAGTCAAAAAGTAAACACAGTAGCAAGATAATAATTGTCATAGGCAATCGAACAGCTCAACCAAACTAACAAAAACCTAGTAATTTCTCCACTGTTTATCCTGCGGTAGTGTGTGTGTGTGTGTGTGTTGGTGAATACCTAAGAAATATAAAATTCAATGCAAAAAAGTTCACTTAGAAAAAATAGAACGCAAACCCATCTGATCTTCTCCGGCTTGTATTGAAGTCTCCATTCCAATGTCTCTTTTAACATTTTGCTTGCCTTCTTTGTACTCCAGTTCCTTGCTCTGAGATATCTTGATATTGATGCATCCGTACAAAGGAGTGGTAACTTGTCAGCTATTGGGCCAATTAGTTTTCTAACGTCATCAATCTGAGGTGAAAGGGATTCAGTTAGTTGAACCTTCAGACAATTCAGTTTATTTAGAATTTGTCTTAACTTCTCAGCTAGAAACTCTTACTATTGGATTAAAATTTTTGCAATCCACCATTTCAGTGGAAACAAAGTTTAGGATCATATAAAATTATGTTGTTGGTATAAGGATTACAAAAAGAAAAACCAATTAAAATCGTATTTTTTGAAGCATCGTGCTGCACTTTTTGGTTGACAGCATCATGCAAAAGCTCAGAAAAAGAGAATGAGTAATACTACTCTATTCCTTCTTCTATATACTTAAGAGCTTATATTGCAACTTGTTATATGCAATTCCAACTTATATCTGACATTTAATATCCTCGCTAATATTTGCATAATTATCTCAAATAAATTATATGTGACAGCTACAACATCACTGTTATAAGATAGTTCTGTGTCATTTACGTTAGTATCGATTGCCATGTCGACGTTTATTTTAATGGTATTAGAGATTGGATAACTTAATAAAAAAATAAAATTTGGCTATCAATTTAAAAATTTTAATTTAGGTACATGCTAGAAAAAGTGCAATACTTAAGGTATTTAGGGTATTATCCCATTAATCAATCAACAATCAACAATATAATCCATTTTGTTTAGCTGAAAAAAATAAAGGAAAACTTTCCCTGTTTCAAGAGTTCAGATATTAAGATTTACCTTTGCTTGTTCCTCTTCAGGCAACAAAGACGCATCTTTTTCTCTTGTTTTCAATTGTTTAGATGACATTTTCCCAAGTTAACAAAGTTGAGCAAGAAGAAATGACAGGATGGAACCTAAAACCAAGAATGAAACTACATACTGAAATCAGTAAAATGTGGCATTAAAAAGGAACTCAAACCCCAAAACATATAAAAAAATTCATTATGGATTTCAAAGATGAGTAAGAACCAGCATATGTCATAATTAAACAATTGTAATCATGCTATGACTCACCAAGCTCTCACAGCAGATACCAAAAAATTAAAAAGAAAAAAAAATCATAGATTCTAGTGTCCTAACATGCGATGTACAATACTTGAAAAAGGACCATCTGGGACAGGGTTTTACACTGGCATAAACGTCTGAAACTCAATATGTTACTTCAAATTTACATAAAAGGTTATGAAACTTATTCCTATTTGCGTGTATTTTTTAAATTTAATTCCACATCATAAACCTAATAGTTTGCCTCTTAGCTCCAAGAAACCTAACAATCTAACCTGGGATTTATAAAACAAAAAGAAAAACTTTGGATTTTAATTTGCTTTATCCATCATAAATAATCTCCGGGCCTTCCACCAAAACGTTGAGTCCTCCACCCCAGAATTACTTACATTTTACATTTAATCCAAAAAAAGAAGAAAGCTTTCAGAATTTAGCCTAGTACATTACTCATGCTACTGTCGCAGTAGAATCCTATAAAAGTTGACAGATTGTCTTAAACTTTTCAATTATTTAATTCAATCTGAAAAGTTTCATTTTTTCCTGAAAAGTTTCAATTTTTCCCTGAAAAAGTTGCAACTTTTGATATGATGATGATCCCTTCAATGAGAAAAGTTGAAATTTTAAAAGGATCCCACAAGAATTATATCGAGTTATGTTTATGATCATAAATAAACATTGAAAACTAAAGGTTTTTCAAAGCAAAAGTTCACCTTTGAAGCTGTTCCTCAGCAAACTTTGGGTCTTTTAATCAAAGAATTTGGCACCTAAATAATCATTCCTGTACCCAAAAGAAAACCCACATAAAAAAGGAAAACATCCAAAGCAATCCATGGCAGAAAAAAAAAAAAAAAGAAAACAAACCCAGAAATGATCTTGAATGAGATAGAATAATCTTGCAAAAAAAAGAGAAAAAATAGTTGAAACAGTTGGAACCCAATCGAGATAAGGAGTATAAAGTACAGTTAAGATGATAAAAAAAAAAGACAAGAGCTTACGTGCATGGAAATTGACAAAACGTTTGTAGGAGAAGATTTGTTTCTTTATTTTATTCAACATAAATTTTGTAAATGAATAAAATAATGAGGGAAAAGAAGGTGAGAGCTTTGGAAATTCCACTAGCCGGCGGTGAGAGAAGATTAAAATATGGTTGAGTTAGTAGCCAATGCCGGACAAAACTTACATAAGTGAAATTCATAAAATTTTTTAATAATAATAAATAAATAAATAAAAAATTTAATAAAAAATTTAAATTGATAGATGGATAGAGTTTAATGCGAAATTTAATAATATATAAAAAAATTATTAAAAATATTATTTATATTTCAAAATTGATCAATAATTATTTAATTATAATAATTTTGTCAATATTTTTACTAAAATTACTTATTTAACAAATATATCAAATTTTTTTAAAATTTTACATATTTAATTTATGTGATGAGATCTTTTAAATTATCGATTTTAATTTTTTAATTTTATTTATTCATTTATAATAAATAATTTCGTGAATTTTTCCTATAAAACTTTTTGTAAGTCTTTTTCCTAGCCCACTGCCCCCTGCCTTATGCTCAATGCGTTGGAACAATGGCAACATTGGTTTCTAGTAGCACGTATTTCTTTCACTCTCGGGGTTAAATACAAAATGATTCATATATTATATATTTTTTATGAGTTTGATAATTAAAAAAATAAAAATTTATTTTTGTATTTAAATTTTAATCTTATAAAATATTTTAATATTTCAAATTAATACTATTAATCAAGTTAGCTACATGATATTAATACTCAAAAAAATCATGACAGGGGAATAAGTGCTCGGCCATTCATGAAACATATGATAATATGCATGGGACAAGTGATAGTTTAAGCTATTTTTCTCCTTTTAGAGCCTCATGAGCCTAGTTTATTGGGCCTAACAGAGACAATGTGAGTTAAGTTACAATGATCAATATTTAATTTCAACAAGTTTGAATATTATAAAATATGCTAGCCAAATTGAAGGAAAGATTTAAATAAATTTTTTTAAATAAAGTTTATGAAGTTTTTTTTTATTAAAAATGATTAAATAAAATTAAAATAAAAAATAAAAAACAATAGATTTAGAGTTCTTGAGACAAATGAAAAATGTATAAATTTTGAAATATTTTTGAAATAATCATTTTTAATAAAAATATTGATAAAATTTTTTATTATTGAATAAATATCAATCAAATTTGAATTATAAATGATATTTTTTAATTTTTTATATATTATTAATTTTTTTATTAAGCTCTATCAATCTATCGATTTTGATTTTTTATTAAATTTTTAATTAAATTATTTTTATAAAAAACTTTGTGAACTTTACCTAAAAAAATTTATCCAAATTTTGTTTCCAAATTTTAACTTTAGGGGGCATTTGGTTAGGTTTTACTTTTTGTAATTTAATTCCTTAATTAGGTACATAAAATATGATTCTTAAGTTTTTTTTTTTTAATTCCCAAAAGTATAAAATAAGGGGAGAGTAGGGAATAAAAAACTCTCCTCTTTTTAAAAAACAAAATCTTTATTGAAAATATTTGAAAAAATATTTTTTAAAATGCTATAATTAAAAAAAAAAAACTACATTTTTAAGTCAATAAAATTATCTCTTGCACTGCATATAGTTTGATAGAGATTTACGGCAAATATTTAAAATATGAAACAAATAATAGAAATTAAACTTTCATCTGATGCAATAATTAAAGTTTAGATAACAGAAAATATGATGTACCTCAAATTTACAATTAACTTTCCCTCACAAATAATAATATAACTCAATTTATCCAATGTTTGTTCTTCTCCAAAGGCTCTGTCGGGTCTTCAAGAACTCCATTACTTGTCTGCCCTGAAAGACATAAGAATTGGATATATGTTCTCAAAGGCTTTAAGAATTTCATCTCTCTTTTGAGCTCCAGCGATAGCAATCTTTCCCGAAGAAAAAACCTGAACCATGATTTTGGATTGTTTCATACGATAGATCAATCCTGGAAACAACTCTGGCTCGTATACTGAAAACTTGAAGTGAGAATTGGCAAGCCGTATAAGATTAATAGGGAACGTAAAATCATAAGCGGCAACGATGTTCTGAATCTTGAAACCATTGAACTTAACATCAAAACCAAGCTTTTGAATGATCCGAGCATGCTTACGGGCAGCCAAGCGTGATTGTTGCTCGCTTTTGGCTCCGGTACAAACCATCTTTCCAGACGAAAATATAAGTGCAGTGGTTTTGGGTTCCTTTATCCTGATCATCACAGCAGCAAGCCTTTTGGGGTTGTATTCAGCATTTGGAGCATGAAGGGCAATGGCCTTGAGGTCAAGCGTGCAACCCAAGTTCACCGTCGACACCACGTTCTCAATGGCAGGGACAACGCCGGCACCTGGAGAGAGGGGGTGGCTGGAAGTGGAACTGGAAGAGTCCAAAACATGGCTACTCCCGAACACAGTATCAGCTGCCATGTTAATATGAAGAAGGACAATATAGAATGCAAAAATGCGGGGTTTGAATATCAAAAGAAATTGCAGAATTGGAGAAAAGGAAATAGGAAACGTAAGAACTAAGGAGAGATTAAAAGAAGAGATAAGAAGGCGAAAAAATAAAAAATCCAATTGCAAGAACGTCTCTAATAATAAACAGTCCAAGTTTCATTATAACAAGTTTCCCTATTGTTTTATGTCTGGAAGATGTAGTGAGACGTAAAATATTAATAATATTTTAATTATTTTTTATAAATAAAATGTAGATTTTTTATTGTACAAAATAAAAAATAAAATTTTAGTTTGTCTTCATTTGAATTTTGAGACAAAGTTAAAATTAATATCGAATGCTTAAATGAATAATATTAGCTTGAATCCAAACAAAATAATATCAAAATGCTTAAAAGAAAAACAAAATAATTTCGCAGTTGATGGGCTTGGTCCGAACTCGGCATCTGCTGATACCCTCGCTTCCATGGAACACGATTGGAGTCCAATGCGCGACCATCAGGTAACTGAAATTTTACGTATATTTGTACAGAATCTTCTATGCATGTGTAGAGGATCCGGATAGATTAGTTTCCTTCAGTAGTGTTCGATGATAATTTTTTTATAAATTTTTCTTCTTTAACTCGGTAACTTTTGGGTGAAATTCCAGCATATTGTATCAGCATTAGGTTTCTTGACATTCATCCATCTCTTGTTCTCAGTATTGGCCTGGAAAAATGGTGGTTTGTTTGCAACATTGTAACATGAATCAAATGGCATAATTGTTTGCTTTTGCCTCTGGTTTAATGATAGCCTTTTTTTTTTTTTTGTTCTTGTAATCTGTTGTCGATAGAATTATCAGGCAATATGAATAGATTCATTCTCCCCTGCATATTTATTGTTTTAAATTGTTTGTACTTTTTACTTAAGCTTGAAGCCTACTATATTCGTTGAAAGGAACAGTGACTTTATCTCGTACGCGCTTTCAGGCAATGGACAGAGCGCACAGATTCGGCCATCGGAAAGTTTTGAATGTCCTTCGTCTCATCATGCGTGGCTTCCTGGAAGAGAAAGTTATGAGCCTCCAACGGTTCAAAGTATCAGTTGCCAATGTTGTTGTCAATGCTGAGAATGACGGCCTGAAAACCATGAACACTGGCCAGTTGCTTGATCTATTTGTCTCAGCAGAAACATCTAAAAAGGTTTTTTTATCAGGGACTTTTTCCGTGTGATAAGGCGACCATACATTTGCATGTTATTTTTGGTTCTTTTATGGGTTTCTGTTTTCCCTATTTCTTCCATGCTTTATTATGCATTTCTGAGTATAGTTGCCTGATATGAGGATTAGATTTTGAAGTTTTTCCTATGGTGCGGATAGGTTCTTCAAAGAGATCAAAATGTTGAATAAATGGAATATATTGAATTTTCATGCTCTTGCTTTTAGTTCTTTTGAGGTGACAGATACAAATATATTTGAATTGCAGGGAGCTACTGCTTCGAAACGTTCAGAGAGCAGCATAGATGGAAACCCAAAACTAATGGGTTCAGGGAAGGGGTTAAAAGTTATCCTTGTTGGATTGAAGGCGCTTTGGGATCAATCACAGTACACTGAGGAATACAATTTAAGCCAGTTCTTAACAAAACTTAATGGCTGAAATAAGCTGCGCAAAGACCTGAATTTAAGTGGTGAGGTAATGGGTTAAAAGATTATTCCTGGTTCACCGGTCAGGTTTTGGGATCGTTGTGTGCCAGAGTTAGATCAAGACCAGTTCATATTGAAGCTAATTGGTTGAACCCAGCTGCTCGTCTGTACAGTGTGTATATATCTAATTTAGGACCCAATTTTGGCAATTTTTAGGTGTAGCTTCATATTTTTAATATGGTTTTACTCCCTTTCCCTTTTTTGGGATGTTCTTCCCAAAATTTAGTCTATCCTGACTTTGCATCAGGGAGGCTAGGAAAGAAGCTGCTTTAAGAGTGGTTGGTCCCAGGTCTCGAGTCTCAACATGAGAGTTTCAGGTTGATAGACATTTACAGGAAATATTTAAAATAGGAAGCAAATTATTGAAATTAAACATTCATCTGAAGCAAGAATTGAGGTTTACATAAAAGAAAATATGTTCTGATATTTACAATTAATTCACCCTCACAAACAATAATAAAAGAAAACTGCAATTTATTTACTGTTTCTTCTTTTTCTTCTTCAACAACTCTATTAGGTCTTCAAGAACTCCTTTACTTGAAATTAAACATTCATCTGAAGCAAGAATTAAAGTTTAGATAACAGAAAATATGGTCTACATAGAGTCTTTTGCTTGTAGACCCTCACAAGTAATGGTAAAAAAAACTCAATTTATCCTCTGTTTCTTGTTCACCAAAAACTCTGTCGGGTCTTGAGGAAGTCCTTTACTTGTCTGTCCTGAAAGACATAAGAATTGGATATATGTTCTCAAAGGCTTTAAGAATTTCATCTCTCTTTTGAGCTCCAGCGATAGCAATTTTCCCCGAAGAAAAAACCATAATCATGATTTTGGATTGTTTCATACGATAGATCAATCCTGGGAACAACTCTGGCTCGTATACTGAAAACTTGAAGTGAGAATTCGCAAGTCGTATCAGATTAATAGGGAACCTAAAATCATAAGCGGCAACAATGTTATGAATCTTGAAATCCTTGAACTTAACATCAAAACCAAGCTTTTGAATGATCCGAGCATGCTTACGGGCAGCCAAGCGTGATTGTTGCTCGGTTTTGGCTCCGGTGCAAACCATCTTCCCAGAGGAAAATATAAGTGCAGTGGTTTTGGTTTCCTTTATCCTGATCATCACCGCAGCAAACTTTTGGGGGTTGTATTCAGCGTTTGGAGCAAGAAGGGCAATGGCTTTGAGGTCGAGCTTGCAACCCAGGTTAACAACCGACACCACATTCTCAATCGTAGAGACAATGCCGGACCCCGGACAGAGAGGCTGGCTGGAACTGGAAGGATCCAAAACATGGCTACCCTCCAACACCGTATAAGCTGCCATGTTAATATCCAGGAGAACAAAAACTCTGTTTGAAAGTAAAATAGAATGAAAAAAACGCAGAGTTTGATTATCAAAATGAAATATATAAAAAAAACCTGTTTTTAACCCAAGAACTAAGAAGAGATTAAGAGAAGAGATGAGGCGACAAAAAAAAAAAAATCCAATTGGGAGAAGTTCTCCGAATAAACAGTTCAAGTTTCACTATAACAAGTTTCCCCGTTGTTTTAGGGTCTGCATGATGTAGTGAGACGTAATAATATTAAAAATATTTTAATTATTTTATTTATAAATAAAGTGTAAATTTGTTTACTAGCATATATGAAAAAAGAAAAAAGTATTTAAAAAATAATAAAAGAATCGGGTTAACCCGACCCGACCCAATACTCGAAATTTGGATTTTCCATATAACCACCGTTTCATTCCTCTGCTTTGATAAAATCTGCAAAACCTCAAAAACCCTAAATCTGAAAATTCGGTAATTGGCGAAAAAAAAACTTACCTTTTGGGTAGATACAATTCACGCATTGAAGCTTGAATTTCGTTGACACCCAAAGTTTGTCCCTTTGGAAAAAATGACAATCCATTCAGTGGTAATCCAAAAGCTCTTAACGACCAATTCCCATATCGGCCGGCAAATAGCAACCCACCATTTCAAACAATTTACCTACGGCTTCCGAAACAAACAAGCCATTATCGATTCCGAGAAGACCCTAATCTGTCTCCGCAATGCTCTCAACTTCATCACTTGCCTCTCACGTGACCCATCTTCCTCTTTCCTCTTCATCAACACGAACCCACTTTTCCAACCCATAATCGACGAGATGACATTGAGAGTGACAACCTTAAGCCCTGAAAGGGCAAGCAACCTTTCGAAAATGCGTGGGTTTTTGACCAACAGTTTTAGTCCGAAGAAGTTTCGGTCTAGGAACAAGAAATTGGTTTTTGGGCCGACTAGGATGCCGGATTGTGTTGTGGTTTTTGATACTGAGAGGAAGAGTTCGGTTCTTTTGGAAGCAGAAAGGTTGGGGATTCCCATAGTTGGGTTGGTTGATTCGAGTATGCCGTGGGAGTATTATAAGAAGGTTACCTATCCCATACCGGCTAATGATTCTGTTCAGTTTGTTTATTTGGTTTGTAATATGATTACTAAGTGTCTTATGTTGGAGAGGAAGAAAAAAGAGGGGGAAAAGGGGATTGGGAGGAAGGCTACAAGTAGGTATGGAATTTTGTCTATTGAAATTTGAATGCTTTGAGCTTAGATAGAAACTTGGTTTTCTTTTTTCTTTTAAATGTATGTTTTAGGTATGGAAATTTGAATGCTGTAATGAGGTGAATTTTTTTTTTTCTTTTGGGGGATAGGGTGGGGTTGATTGGATTTCGTCTTTCAATTAGGCGGAAAATGCGTTTCCATGGAGATTTAAAAAAAAAATAAATTAAATGTATATTCTACAGATATGAGTAGAATGGATGTTGAAATTTGAATGCTTTGTGCTTTAGGTAGAAGACGGATATGGAGGTATTTTGGTCCTTTGAGTGGGTTTTGTTACTGAAATGTGCATGCTGTGTCAAAAATGAGTATACAATCTGTGTTGCATAGGGTATGCGATGTAAATTGAATCCTGATTTTATTGATTTAACTAGAGAGGAAGTGAGGAAGTAACTAAGTTTGTTTGTAGTAATCGTTGTATGATAGGATATGCGTGATGAAGGATTTAAGAGGGATTTGAGTTGTGGATTATGATTTATATGTTACCTGATATGTCTAAGACAGAATTATGAGTTATTTCTAAGTAGTTCGTTGCTTGAATAGAGCTTGGTTGAGTATTTTAGTATAGGGAGAATATCCATTGTCGGTTTTGATTGGGTTTACCTCTGATATTGTGCAGAACGATAGGGTCATTTCCTATTTTTTTGTGTGAGTTAGGAATTCTTGCTCTGAAGTTTGTGTATTTGATATGGGTTGAGTGTTCATGGCTTGGTGTTGCACTGTTTCTTCTGTTCTTTGTTTCTATATTGGTGTTATTTCCAATTGTTTGGTTTACATAAAATCTGATATTTGATTAAAGGGAAGAAACGGAGAGCACTAGTGAGAGCAAGGTGGACAGTTCAAATGATGAAGTGCTTGTCATTCCTTATGATAGCTTAGTACCTATTTCTGGGGGTAATATTTACTCTTGATTCATTTATTTGTGAATTTATTTTATTCCAGCTATGGCAACTATGAAATTATTGCAGGACATTGGAGTTTGCTATCTTCAGCTTGTATAACTTGTACAATTTGTTTGTGTTCTTTCTGCCTTGAGTTAGATATTGCTGAAACGAAGCAGCTTTTGGACAAACTTGTTGTGGTGAAATTTGATGGAGCTTTGGGAATAAATATGGGCTTCAGTGGTCCGAAGTAAGCAATAATCTTACTTTGGAAATTTGATACTCATCTTTCTTTTCCAGAAAAAAAGGATTTCTTGATGACTCCATATTTATATATTAAATACATGCCTCTACTTAAATTGAATATGTTTTCTGTTATATATGTATGTCCTGCTCTTTCATGAAGATGGACTGAATATCTGCTTCTAATATTTTGAATGAATCATTTTTGTTATTATACTGGGAATTTGCATGTGAAGTGTACTTGTTTTGAATAGATATACTAATCATTACTACTTAGGTCTTTAGTGAATTTAATACTTCCAGAAGAATTTAAGAATTGTCCAGTTTTAAGTTGAGAAAAGGATGTGCTTTCTTTACTTTGTTCTTTAATGTACAAGGCATTCTTGTCATGGAAACTGGATATTTGGTTGAATTTGTGCAATTCCTTTTTCCTTTGCACAGGTCTTTGATTGAAGTTAAAAATGGGTCAACATTCCTGGACTTAATTGTTAACCAAATTCAGGTTGGTTGCTGGTTTTTTTGTTGTATTTACTGTTGTTCTAGTGCACTGGAGCTCACTAGTTCAACATTTTCAATTCTTTGTAGTCACTAAATTCCAAGTATGGGTGCAATGTTCCTCTGCTTCTAATGAACTCAAGCAGAACACACGATGATATGTTAAAGGTGATTTGCTTTTTCCTCTCCCACATTATGTTCTTAACCTTGTATCTCAGTGGTACTCATCCAAGTTGTCATACATAGGTTTTGGAGAAATACTCCAGCTCAAAGATAGATATACATCCTTTTAGACAGGTTTGAGAACCTAGCTAGTATTTTCTTGTTGTATAACTGGTTCTGGAATTTATTCTACAAACGTTAAATTTATGACTTCCTTTTGATAAAATAATTGGATTTATTTAGGGGGAACAAACTCAACTGGAATTATCGGTAAGCGAGGGAGGTGTGGATGAATGGTATGTCTATTTTTGTATCCTTCCTTTGACACTGTATCATTTTTTTTTTCACGTATAAGAGTGTCTGGTGATAACTTAACTATGATATTGATATTTAGCAACTTCTGAAAGTTTTGGTAAAGTTCATAATAAGGCTTTAGAAATTAACCATTAAGTTGAATATATGCATACGGGTAGCTCTACAGCTATTACTCCATGAATTTATTCTTCGTTTTCACTTTTTTCTCATTTTGTCATGAAATACATACCCTTTTAGATTATTCTATTCTAGATGTATTTTTTCCTTATGTTAGCATCCTGGTATCGTTCATTCTGATGAACTGGATATAGATGGTATGCTGTCAGCATCGTATTACCTTTCATACAGATGAACTGGAAAAAGGCATGGTTTGATGTCTAATTGACCACCATAGAGATGTTTTTGCTTGTACCATCATATGGCATCTCTTTCCCATGTGCAATATTAATTTATCCAAACTTTATGTGGCGATTTGGACATTCCCCCAATAGCCAATAGATTCTTTTTCTTTTAGCTTATTTGCTCTGTAGGATTACATTGTGGTTTTGCTCACCAATTGCTGAAAGTTTTCTCATTGGTTCTTTTAATTTTTATATTTTTTTATACACGAAGGTATTCTTCTGATCATGCTACTCAATTCCTTTCCCTCATGAATAGTGGAACTCTTGATGTACTACTTTCCCAGGTAAGAATTTTCTCTGAAAATATTCCTTTTTTTCCTCTTATGTCTATAAAAGAAAGAAATATCTATGAGAAAGAAAATGCAAAAGTATGCCTGGAGGAGGAATCCTGATGCAAACTGTTAATAATTTTCACATTGCTTCCAGGGTAAGGAGTATGCCCTTGTGGTTAACCCAGATAATGTGGCTGCTGTTGTGGACCCAAGTATCCTTGTATTGTTTCTGTTATTTGATTTTCTGATTTTTAATGACCTTCAATTCTCTAGTTGTGCCCCTTGACTGATATTTTAGAAATCTTGAACCATTTGGCTCAAAACAGTATCGAATACTGTATGGAGGTATGCAAGGATTATTTCCATTGATTATACTACTTTGGCTAAAAAAATCTTTTGTAAGTTGTTACTATTTTCAGGTGATGCCAACCGCCTTAACTGGTTTAATGAACTTTATGGCTGGTTCACTCCAAGGAAAGTTTAAGGCAAGTGATATCTTTAATTGTCGTAATGTCTGATAAATTTGTTTGAAATCTATGTATACTTCAAAACAGCCTTAAATTAACTTTGTTTCTTTCATTATCATATAAATTAACTTTGTTTCTTTCATTATCATATAGCTTGAAGACTTTACTGCAAATCCTACTCAAAGTGTAAGTTGCTTATAACATTTTTTTTAGAGAAGAAAAAGTCACAGCAAATCCTTTATTTCCACTTTTTGTCCAAAATTTTATGTCAAAGTGCACAGAACAATAATGGAATGGTGTTGTTTCATTCAGACATTATTTGGTCATCTGACTGATTTATTATCTGCCTTTCTGTTTTTTCATGGTCATAACAAGTCGGTGAAAAAGTTCAAATTTATTGATACAAGGAACTTGTGAGTGAACTGCTATGCCTTGTGAATTTGCTCTTTAAAAAAAAAGCAAATATGCCGAATAATGGTTCCCTTTTTCTCAGGTGGATAGATTTGAAAGCGATTAAAAGGCTTGTAGATACTAGTGCACTCAAGTTGGATGACCTTTCTTCTTTAAAGGTGCTTTTTGCTTAAAATTTTCTTAGACAGGTGTACATGCTACATCAATCAAGAAATTAATGAAGTTCTTATTGTTGTTACTTTGTCATTGAGGCAGTTATTTGAAAAATCAGTTGGCATTACCATTCCCCATTCTCGTTTTCTTCCATTGAATTCCACATCAGACTTGCTTCTTCTTCAGGTGATCCTCATTTATCAACTATAATTTTGTGCTACAACCCAAATAAAATATTATTTCATCTTGACTTAAGGTTCTGAACATCAAAATTATGTGTTCTGCAGTCTGACCTTTACACATTTGCTGAAGGTGTTTTAGTTAGAAATGACACAAGGACTAGCCCTACTAACCCTTCCATTGATTTAGGACCTGAATTTAAAAAGGTGAGGTTATTGAGTTGCGGTCATTACCTATATTGTTGCTGCATTTTATTTTCTTTAATCTGTTTATTTATTTTCTATTTTCCTCTTCAGATCAGCGACTTCAATAGTCGCTTTAAGACCGTTCCTAGCATTATTAGGCTGGATAGCTTGGAGGTGACTGGTGATGTTTGGTTTGGAGCTGATATAACTCTCAGGGTATCTGCATTATTTCTCCTGCATCAGTATCTTGCTTCTTTTTGAAATATTTGTTCCTTCCTCTTGTATTAGGTTTAAACTTGATACTATCATTTTTTCAGTATTAAAAGCTGTAGAGTAGTGGGTGTCAGTATTTTCAAGTTGCTCTATAATTTGATAATGTGTGAATTATTGATGGCTAAAACATGCTAGAGAGAGCTTGTGTCCAATGGAACTTTGTATAAAGTATCTCAAAAGTTTCCTTTTCCCTTCAAATTGAAGAAATGCCATCAAAATATTGAGATTTTATACTTTAGGAATTTCAAATATAGTATTGGACTCTTTTATTTTTTTTTTTTCGTTGAAAATAAATTAACTATCTGCAAGTTTTGGCATGCATTGTTGATTAATTTTTTGAAACAAATTACAGAGAACAGCCAATACTGATATCATGTTATGTATATTGAAATATACTTGCAAATGCATGTGAGGCAATTGCCTGAAGTGTATAGAGTACCATTCACATGCATGCATGCATGTATATTTGGAGAAGGTCGGGATTGGGTAAAAAAATTGGATGCATTTGCTTTCTTTGTGGTTTTATTTGCCTAGTGTTTTAACTCTACCAGCAAGTCATGAATTTTGCTGTTTTACTCAGTTCTGTCTTGTGATGGTTTGTTTTCTGTAGGGGAGAGTTGTAATTGATGCAAAACCAGGAGTGAAATTGCAAATTCCTGACGGAGTTGTGCTTAAGGATGAGGTAAATCTTGAAACTATCATTGTACTGCTTGAAGATACCGGTTTCCCCTGTATTGACGCTCGATCTGTTATGTTCTTTTGCCTTTTGTTTTCTTCAGGAGATCAATGATGCCAGAGACATTTAAGAGAGGAATCATCTCTACCATTTTGATTGAATCCCTTAAAAAAGAGGAGCAACAAAAAAATTTTTCAATAGAAGATTTTGTAATGCGCACTATCAATATATTCAAATTTCGTATCGATGAATGTTCTTTGCTATTGGAACAGGAAATAATAGTTAGAGCACTCAGCTTAGTGGATTCATATTACACTCAGCTTAGTGGAAAATGATAGCTCTGGCTTGTAAACATGAAATTTAGGATTAATGTTTTTCTTTGTTGTTCTAATGCATTTGGGGAAGGTAGTAGCGGGTATGAAACAGTAAGCTTCATCTTATGTATTTTACATCTATAATGTATGCTAAGACAAGATTCTGCATCAGACATAAGAAGAGTCCAACTTGTATTTTATCTTACTAGGATATAATTTCACTTCAAAAATCTCTGTTTAAGTCTCGGGTTCATTCAAAAGTTCTTTTTGCTTCTAGAGATGAATCACAATCTCTGAATTTTTATTTTTATTTTTTTTGTATTTTATAAAAAAAGAAAGAATTGACTTAATGTATCCTTAATAATGCTCTTGAATTTCATAAAATTCATTGTCCAATAGAAAGAGAAAAAGAAATGGTAAAAGATATAATAGACCAAGTAGAATGCTAAATGCATAGATATTGATGGGTTGGATATAGTTACCAGAGTGATTTCAAAACTTAAAAACAATAATTTTTATTTTTTTACAAAAAATTATGGATAGTTGAAATTTGAATCCCAATTCTATAGAATGTTGTCCGACCTGACTCAATGTGCACTGTATATAATTCTAACAAATTCAATGTGAACTATATATAATTCTTACCATAATATCAGTAAATTAATACACATCAACGGTATGTACTTTATTACCCAATCATATATACATAGAGACAAAGCTACTGCTGCAGAAGATGCCTATATGCATTGGTCTTCTTGTGAGAAATGGGAATCATCATGGATGCCTGTTCTTGTTGGTGTCTTAGGCTTGGAATGTTCTATTGAACTATGTTTAGGGGTTCATATCATAAATATATATATATATATATATTTCCAAAGTTTAGAATGTGTACATCTAATGTTCTTTTTAGTTGATCTTACCACTTCATATATCTTTGTTTTTATCTTTTATTGTAATTATATTATTTTGATATAATAAGTGAAATAAATATGGTTAAATTATGCATAGGAATTTTGTACCAAAACAAAATTTGAACTTCAATATTTTTTTTTATATAATTTATAAAAATCTTGTTTCCATACAAATTAAAATAGACTATTTGTTCAATTATTAAAATTATCAATTACATTCTATTAACTTTATTGACACGACAATTTAATGAAATTAGATGTCAAATTCTTTAAATAATCGTTATATCATACAAATTTAAACTTAATCCCCTAATATACTTCATAAAAATTTTGTTTTCTTACATGTTAAATTTGATAATATTGATATAATTACTAATGTTGTCTATTAATTTTCCTTAATTTTATTAAAAAGATTAAAGTTTAAATTTTGCGTAAGTTGAGAAGCGGTTCTTATCATAAACATATTTTTGTTAGCGTTTAGAATAGACACATCTGATGTCCTGTTTTGTTGATATTGTACTTCATTCAAACTTTTGATATATGTTGGTCAGTATCTTTTATTCTAGTTATGTTATTTTCTTATCCATCAGTTGTTAGCTATGTAAAACCAAATACTAAGGCTTTCTACAAATATTTTGAAAAATTTTAACTTGGATTCTGTTGTTTTGGCAATTCAAATTCCTAGATGAAATTTCAAAAGATTTCAAATGGCACTTGTTTTCAAGAATCATAGAGTGGCTGTGTATACAAGGGGAAGAAATGCTTGGCAGGAAGCAAAAGAAGCTTCTCAAAGCTCAAGATTGTGAAACTTGACAATGATCTTCATGCTGTAATGATCAAAGGTCCTATCCCTGTTAAGCCAGGTAATCTGCTACATGCAATCCCATCTATGATTTTGGATGATTTGGTTCTGCATCATTACAAATGCTAAATTCTGTATGATTTTGCTTTCTGCAGTAGAAATTTAGAGTTTTAGCTGTGGAATCTTCTAATGCATTCTTTGGTGTATGATTTTAGATAGAAATTTACAGATTTTCTGAGTTAACATTAATTCCTGAATATTGGAATGGCTTCTCAATTTGCAAAACACTCAATAATTGATCAGCTGGTTCTACTTCACAAATATTCTTAGTGAATGAATGAGTTCCCTCTACTTACAGAGCAGAGAAGTTTGAGGATGATGCTGAGTTTCACTTGGATTTCTTACAGATTGAAATTTGAAATTGGGTGTTAATGTCCAAAAATTTAATTAAGTTCATCTAGTATTATAGGTGCTTTTCTTAGCAAAACCATAGAGATTGGCGGACTAGCAATCTAGGTGCTTGTGAAAATTATGCAATGGCACTCCTGGTTTTGTAAGGATGAACACAGTTGCTGATGTTGTGTTTAATGCAATGTGCACATATGGCCATGTTGTGTGCAACGATTGTGTTCCAATGTGTTGTTTGATAAACTTGATTGATTCATTGTTGTTTTGATATTCAGCTGGGATGTTGAGGTAGGTACAAGTATATTTAAATTTATCAAAAATGAAAGATGATGTAAAAATAAAGGACATGAAATCTAAATACATAAAAGATAAATTGCAAGAAAATTAAAATATATGAAAATTAAATTGAATAAATTTAAAATGTCCTAAAAATAAATTGCATTAAAAATAAATAAAAGCCTGAAATTAAATAACATAAAATTTAATTTGCTTAAAAAAATAAAATTGCAAAAAAATTTAAATGATTACATAATTAAAGGAACATAAAAATTAAATAATAAAAAATCAAAGTGCAAGGAAATTAATTAACATTGAAATAAAAAGTTAGTGCATGAAAGTAAATAGCATCAATAGCAAATAAATAAGATTTAGAGTGGTAAAAATAAAATAAGCCAAAAACATGAAAATTGGAACACATAGTAAAGAATGACACAGGCCCAACCGAATTGCATAAGATGGAAAGAAGTGTTAATGCAGCAACTAAGTAGCATATCAGTAAAGGAAAACAACTTAGAATTTTAAAGGAGAATCAAGTGAATTTTAAACATGGCATCATTGAAATTAAAAGAGCAACCTAGCAAACAAATGAGACTAAAACAGTAAGCACAATGGACTGATTACAAAGCTGAAACTGAAAACTAACATGGCAGCCAACAAGCTAAATAAATCTAACAAAAATATTAAATGATGGGTTGAAGTAATATGGAGCCACATAGATATGACTTTCCCTAAAGGCATCCAATGAAAAAGAAATACACACAAACACTAAGTGAACAAATTCTGGAAAATGAAATGCAATTGATGTTCTTATTATTATTATTATTATTATTATTATTATGGTGTTTTTTCCCTCCAAATTAAGCCCATCATGTAATAAAGATTAAAAGACAACCTAAAGAATTTTTAAAGCAAGAAACAAGTGGAAAAGGCCCCTAATACAGCCCAAAACCGTGAACAGCCACAATTTTGGCTTCTTTTTTTTTTATTAATGACGGATTTTGATATTTAATTTTAGAAGAGTTAATTAATAATATATAAGATATTTTATTTTAATTTTTTCAAAAGAAATATTTTATCATATTTACTAACAAAACGAAAATAATATACTAATAAAGAATGATGAGTTACTAAATTATAAAACAAAAATATTATTGTGATAACATTATATTTTTAACAATAATAAGATTTACAATTAAAGATAAAATTACTAATTACATATTCTATCATGATTAATAAAATTTTCTTTAATTTTTTAGATATTAAAAATTGAACTAAAAAAATGTACAAAGAACTCAATTATTAAAATTTTTATCAAAAACAAAATAACTAAATGTATTTTTAAGAGAATATAATAAAATTTTGAGATTAAAAATTATGGTGCTTTGCCATTTTTTCATAAAGCAAATCAAATATGATTTTTTGTTGAAAAAAATTATGACAACATCGATATCTAAAATAAAAATAAAACTGAAAAATGATACAGAGAAGAAAATTTGAAATAAGCTAAAAAGAAAAGGGATTGTAGGACTCAATCCAAATGGTTTGCCTAACTTTCCAAGAGATAGATTCATGTGAAATTAAAGTTCAATTTTTAAAACTTACAATTTCTCTTTCTTTAAATCCTCTAGGCATCAATCTCTTGTACCCAAAAAAAAAAAAAAAAAGGAAAGACACATTTGATGCTTGATTGGAAATGGAAATGGAGTTTCATTGAGAAAACTAAAAAAATTATTTTAACTATTGTTAAATTCACGTTATTGTAATTTAAAATTTATAATAAACTTTTTTAATTTTAAGAATTTATAAGTAATAATTATTGAATATAATAAACGAATAAATATTAATGTGATTTGAACGTCTATTGTATAGGATTAAATAATAAAATAAAAAAAATTAACAATTTTAATTTATAATCAATTTAAATGAATTATCTATCTATCTATCTATATATATATATATATATATATATATATAGATATAGATATAGATATAGATAGATAGATATATAATGGGCCCTAGTTCTTATCACACGCCGCCTAAGCTTTTCACCCTCCAAGTTGCATGGTTTCTCTCCAAGTTTAATCCTAAGCTTAAAACACACTTCATAAATCAAACAGTCTTGTGAAGTAGTGACCATGCATGGAGAGGAAACCTATCATGGAGAAAGACGTTTGAAGGGGGCCTCTTTTTCTAGCTGTGTGAGAGCTCTTTCAATATTTGATTCCAGCTTCAAGTGACGCAATCTCAACCTTCAAAAATGCCAAGTGAGCCCAGGAATATTTTGGAAAATAGGTTATGGTTCTGCACTAGCTAAAATTTCCAGCTAGCTTCCTCCACATATGCTGCTTGTTTTACCGGTCAAATGAGGTGTATTATTAGCTTCCAATTTTAGGTGAGTTGTCATCATTGTAAAGTTTTCAAAAGTTGCCTTATGAGCTGTCCAAATTGACCAAACACTTCGAATCTTGACAAAACACTTTCGGTGGAGCAAGTCCTCTTCATCCGAAATTTGAGCAAGAAAAATTGTAAAGCAGCTGCCTTTCCCTTTCTTTATTTCTTTTTTCACTTGCATTTGCTTGGAAGAGCTCACTTATTATGTCAAAGACTTTGGAACCCATGTGCACATTTTCTTGCATTGGAGCTGCTAAGCTTGTCTCTCTCTTTCTTGCATGACTTTGACGGTATATGAAGTTTCCATCACTCTCCTCCATTCATTTAGCTCATTTGACTTTTACTTGGTCATGGCTTTCTTCATTACATGCAGCTCAAATTAGCTTGGCAGCAACTTAGCATTTTCATCATTCATATACACGGTTTGCAACACACAACACTCCCCTCTTCACAGCAAGGTCTTCATGGCATCACTTTTTAGCTCTTTGCTTGACTTGAATTAATTGCCTACACGTGAAACAATCTGATTAATTAGGTAGATAACTGAATTAAATTGCTAATAATCAAGCAAAAATTTATCAAGTAAGTAGTAAAATTAATCAAATAAATCCTATAATAATTCTATATTATCAAAAACATATGATATTTGAAACCAAAGTTCAATTTAGATGATTTATGTAGCTGCCTCTAAGGCGACATCTAGCAGTTTTGAAATTAAAATTCTAACACCTGCAACTCTTTTCTTATCTCCAAGCTATGGCCTTTTTTGTGAAAAAAAAAAAAAAGAAGACCACCCGATATCCTTCCGTAGGTGTGGCAAGTGTCTATGTCTTGTTACTTCAGCTATTGGAAGTACTTAGTAGTTTTCAGCAAGGCATTGTAACTTGAATAGAACCATTTTGATTTTGTTATACAATATTTATCTCATTCAACTTTTAGTATACTTTATGTACGTGTGTTTTGACATGAGGACCCCTTAGTTTAAAGATTTTTGGTATAGAATCAGATGAATGAGTGGCATTTTAGGTCTGTGAAAGCTCCCACAATGTAATTCAGTCGAAAAAAATCATCCCATAAAACAAAGACATAACAGCTGTAACAAGCATGAATACAAAAGTGTGAAAAGGAGTTAAAACTAGTTTGTTATTCAAGTAATGATTTTAGCTTTTAGGCCTTAAAATAGCACCCCCGATAACAAGTCCGTTTTTCCAATGGCCTCCATGTTCATAGAGATCAAAACAAACTTCTCTTGCTTCTCCTGTTTCTTCGTTTTCTTCTGTGCAGAAATTGCCGACATTGAGCTCCATCCATTGCCCTCTAGGCTTCTGCAAAAGGCTGACTTGCCTTTCTTGGACTCTGCCGTTAGGGAGGGATAGTCTCAGCTTGATAGGAGGTTCCCAACCAAATGCAGATTTTGTCAACTTGATTTCATAAACAACTTCGTATAAAGTTCCAGGGGAAAGGTCTGATATTTTGAATTTTCCTCTCACATCCAGCCAACATACGTGGCTTAGTTTGGCTACTTCGATGTTTTCATCACTGCAAATGAAGATATAACTTACAATATTTTACAATCATGAGAAAACAGCAATTGACAAAACAAAGAATTTCCATGAAAAATATCCCCAGAATCTCACCTTGTATCTTTAAAACTGTTCCAAATCCAATGCTCACGGGCACCCCAAGTGATGTAGAGTGACCTTGCATACAACATGAAGCATTTGTGACCAGATTTTGCATCTTCCCAGGTTTTCTGCATGATGAGTTGGAACATATAATAATAAAATCTTTCTCTGTACAATATCACATATTCTAACTCATCCTTCATTTAGATGTACGAAAGTATAAGAACGAGAGAGAGAGAGAGAGAGAGAGAGAGAAACAAACCTTTCTCTTATGCTCAAGGAAGACTTCCTTGTTGTCTGTTGTTACAACCTTCTTCTTCATCAAGTTAATTGTTTATGTTCCCAACAAAACCAACAATCTCCGGACTCCTAACGCTTTTCCTGTATTTACTTTAATGGCACCTTCTTCCCATTTGTCTATTTATAGTTAAACCTGAAGAACAATGTAAAGGAAAGGGAAACGAGAGAGAAATTCCATTGCAGTCCACTTGTATAATGTTTGCAATTAATTTCTGAAACGTGTGGGGACCGCGAGAAAGAGGGACCATGGAACTAGAACAATAAGAAAGCGTCAATAAATTACCTGCTGCCCTATTTGCTTTACGCTACGTTTGGATATTAATAAAAGAAAGAAACAAAGGTTTTTTAAAAGAAAGAAAAAATTATATGTATTTCTTGTTTAGATAGTTAAAATTAATAAAAAAATTTTAATAATTATTATTTGAATAAATAATAAAAAAGAAAAAAAATTTATTATTAAAATTTTTTAATTATAATTTTTTTATAAAGTAATATATACAAATATATCTTTATACTACCTTATTTGTATAAACAAATTTTTTTAAACAAAATTGAGTATATTTAATATGATAAAATATATTAAGTAGTTATTAATTTACTCTTAATTTTGTATTTAATTTAGACTTTTAATTTATTCTGACAATAATTTGACTTATTTTGTTATTAAAACTTAAAAAATTATAAAATATTTATAAACAGTGATATTATATAAAATACTTATAAAAAAATTATTTTTATAGGAAGTGTCAATTATATAATCAAATCTAATATCATAATAAAAATATGGATATAATAATCTTTTTATAAAAATAAATTTTTTTCAAATTTTCTTTTTTGAACTTTTCTCTCAAATTGAGATATTGAAAAAGTGAAGATTACAAGAAAAACTAAAGGTTATTAGATTTTCATCTCTTTCTTTCCTTTTAAATTAAAAGTTTATCTAAACAAATGAAGACTTTTTTTTTTCCATTACTTCCTTTTATTTTCCTTAATTTTCCTTCTCCCCCTTTCAATCTAACCATAGTGTTAGCCTCCATCAATTACATTGCTTTGCGTGTAAGATATAGTTTTATCTCCTTCTAGATTGCATGGATTGGAAGGTGAATGAGACTTCCTAACAACTATAATACCCAAACCTAATTTTATATCCTAATTAGTTGACCCAGTCCATATGTTAAAAAAATTAAAAAAAAAAACTTTGCTACTTTTCCTTTTATAGTTTCTCTGAAAGGAAAAGTAATACGAAAACTAGAAAAAAAAAAAAAAAACTCTACACTATGTTTGGATTTAGGGGAGGGGAAAGAAAGGAAAGTAAAATAAAGGAACATAATGAAAACAAAAAAATATTTCTTTTATTTGGATAAACTTTTAATTTAAAGGAAATGAAAGAATTGGAAACCAATAACATTTGATTTGCTTGTAATACTCACTTTTTTAATAGCTCAATTTGGAGAAAAAATTAAGGGAAGGAAAGTTAAAAAAATTTTATTTTTAAGAAAAAACTATTATATCCATATTTTTATTATAACATTAAATTTGATTATATAACTGATATCTTTTACAAAAATAATTTTCTTTTATGAGTCTTTTATATAACATCACAGTTCATAAATATTTTATAATTTTTCAAGTCTTAACAACAAAACAAGCTAAATTATTGTCAAAATAAATTAAAAAGTTGAATTAAACACAAAATTAAGAGTAAATTAATAATTAGCTAATACATTTTAACGTATTAAACATGTTCAATTTTGTTCAGAAAGATTTATTTATACAAGTTAGGTTGTATAAAGATATATTTGTATATTATATGTTACTTTATTAAAAAAAAGTTTTAATTAGAAAAAAATATTATAATGAATTATTTGCTTTCTTTTTCACTATTTATCCAAACAATAATTATTAAAATTTCTTTCTTTTTTTTTCTTTATTAAATTTAACTATCTAAATAAGAGGTACATGTGTCACGGTCCTACGGAGGAGCCATAAATCCCACATCGACTTTGTACTATTATCATGCCCCAAGGTCAACACGCAACACGGTCATATTACCTTGAAGTAAATCTTAAAGTAATACGAAGCCTTCTTTCTTAACCATTTTAAAATTCTTCAATAAAACAATCACCAAGTAAAATCCATATATTTAATCCAACTGATGATACATCTTTATATATCCAAATACAAACCATATAAAATACAAAACCGTCTTATAAGATCTTATTGGCCAATATTTTCTCCTACGACTAAGTAATCTTTCTCATTTCATCTTCTAGCTTCTCACAAGACTAACCAAACTTATCACTTACTCATCTGTAAAGAAAAAGTAAAAGGAGAATAAGCAAACAATAGCTTAGTAAGTATAGGCTCACACATCTTACCAGATCAAACATCGTTTTTATACGTATCATATAGAGTATTCAAAATAATCATCAAATCATAATGTCAAAATATTTCAAGATCATCGTTCTGTCAAACATTTCATAAATTCATAAATTAATATCAAAACATGTCAATTCATCAATTATAAATCACAAAACATAATCAAATACATATTTCACACAAATCATGGATCAATATTTAAAATCATCATAAATCATCATTATCATTCATTTATCGTTAGGTACGGTCACTACTATAACCTGTGACATTAGCCGTATCGATAATTTCATCCTCATGATCATTGCTAACTATTATAACCCGCTAGTGAAGATCTTACGCTAACTACTATTACCTGTTAGCCAGGGTTGTGGAACTAGTTCTAATGTTGATGATCTCACTTCCTAGGGATGTAAAAACGTAGTTATCATAAAATTGTTCTTTAAATATAAATCATTTTCTTATTTCATTTGTAAACATGATCCATCATTTATATAGAGAAATGCAAAATAATCATATGTTTGATCTTATCTTCATACATCGAAAATAATGAAATAAAATATTTGTTCATTTAGAAACATATATATATATATATATATAGATTCGAAAACAAACAAAATGTGTGAGATTCTACTTATCTCCTTTCGATTTCATCGCTTAGTTTTTCTCTCAAAATAATTAATAGCCTATTCAAGATTATTTCAACACATAAAAATTTAATCAACCTTTTTTTAGACTATTTATACAAAAATCAACTAAGTTACACAAAAGTTAACTCAACTAATTAATACTGGCAACCTGACCTCTTTTTGTTAAAACAGTCATATCTCAATATATCCAAACCAGAATTAAGATCTCTTCAATGTATTAGAAACTAGACTTGATAAGCTTTCTAACCATATATGGCCCACATCGTAATTTCTTGTAGATTAATTATAAAATTTTTTGCAATCCACGTCAGATGCTGCTACCAAACAGGCTGTATACCTTCTCATAAAAATTATGTATTTATTCATAAGAAACTCCAAATTCAATTCTGCTTGTTTTGTTGAAAAGTAGACTCAATAAGCTTTCTAAATGACTTAATCTGTAATTCCTTGTATAAAAATTAAGATAATTTTCGTAATTCAACCCTGATGCTGCTGCCTTACAGCCTGCATATCTTTAAGTAAAAATTAGACAACTCTTTATAGAAACTCCGATTCAACTTCCGTTTATTTCATTAGAAAGTAGATTCAACATGCTTTCTAATGATAAATCATAATCATAGCAATAATCTATCCATTAATACAAAATTCTATTTTAATTTATTATTACAGATGATAGCATCTCATCTAAAAACAAAATTTTTTCTTCAATCTTTAAAAAAACCAAATCCTCACTTTCAGCCTTTAAACTCCGTTCAATAATCATCAATAAATCTTAAGAACATAAAATAAACAAATCTCAATAATTTACCCAAATAGATCATGAAGATTAATGAAAGATTTTATAATTTTTTTTTGTTTTGCTCTCAAAACTTCAACTCCAAATAATAGCAATCAACTTGATATTTTTTTTAAATAAAAAGAGGGCATATACTCACCTTTAAGGGATTAACTTGATTATAGCATTTGATTTTGAATCGCCAACTTGATTTTTCATATTCGCTAACCCTAAGAAAGATGAGAAAAAAGAACTCTTATTTCTTTTCTGGTTCTCGATAGCCAGGTTTTCTTTCATTTAATAACTCAGCCATTTTTCTTTTACTAATTAGTCTCTTAATAAACTATGAGCTTGGGTATTAGTCTAGCCCAATTATTATTTGGGCTGGGGTATCACATTCTCCCCTCCTTATAAAAAGTTTCATCCTTGAAACTTGATTTACATTTATATCTTATTCCTTCATTTCTGTAATCACATCTCTTACTGTATGATTGTTTCATTAAACTTTAACAAAATAATCATTTTGCCTCAAAACTTGTTCTTTCCAATTAACCATTTGGAAAAGATATTTTCAATATGTTAAAACTCATATCATCTTGAATTTCTAAATACTCATATCCAATCACATAGCTTCTATTAAGATATTCTCTTAACATAGATTCATCATGTACACTAGACATCAGAGGTGATGGTATTCTTTATTTTGAACTTTTTTTTCTTTTTCAAGAACTTCAAATGTCTTTATAATGCAAACTTAACCTTTCTTACTTTATAATCCTTGTAACGAGTATAAATGATTAACCACTTAAAGCTATAAATCATATCTCCAAATTTTGATATAATTCTTTTGCTTACTTTAAACCATTGTTTAATCAACCAAAATTTATCAACTATTTGTTTCATAAATTCAAGAAACAAAAGTTTCTTCTTACTCATTTTTATCCCAATAAATTTGAGATTTAGATCTACTTCCATACAAATCTCAAAATGAACCATTGAATGTTTATCTTATGACTATTGCTATATAAAGTTTTTTTTTTTCTCTTCAAGTCTCAAGATAAGCACTGCTTAAAAGAATGTCTATGAATGATAAAGCTCTAAAACTAGAAGGAACACAAACTATACTTATCCCAAAATATGTTAGTCCTTATTTATTAAAGATTCATTACTTTCTCAACTAAAAATAACATAACAATTTAGAACTTAAATCAAATCAGGCTTCCACTGTGCACTATGATATTTTCTTCCAATAAAATTCAAACAAATTAACTTTTATAACATTACTTTGTAACAAGAAAAGCATGTGTCCACAAAATTCCTTGTAATCTGCTTCACACAATGTGTTCATAACCATAACAATCTTGAATAATAATATCAACAAATCATTTTGTCACCAAAAAGATATCATATAGTACTTTAATTTTCTTTTCTTCTTCATTGACAATATGAAAATTTCTACCAAT